TCTGCAGGCACTCAAGCCGACTGCAGTTGTAGCAGCTCCTGTTTAACGGTATGGAGCTGGGTCAGACATTGGAACTCCACCCACTGATTTATAGGTTGCACTGATTTATAGGTTGCACCAATTCCCTCCCTACAGACAGACAATGACTCTCCTTTGAGAAGCCACACCCATGTACACCCAGGACATGCACATGGCTGTGTTTATGTTTCACCCCAAGCACCTCTCTTCCTCTTCATGCTTAAAACCAGTATTAAAAAGTCTCGGGTGCTGGAGAGATGGCTCAGTGTTTAAAAGCACTTGCTGTTCTTCTAGAGGACCCAGGTTCACTCTGTAGTTTACAACTGTCCCGTACTAGTAGATCAGATGTTCTCTCTGGGCACCTGCACTCATGTGGTGCACATTGGCAGGCAAAACACTCACAAACATTAAAAAAGAACTCTTCTAGCAGTAAATTCTGAATGTCGCTTAAAAAAAAAAAAAGACCGAACAGTGCCGGCAGAGTACCGGTCCTGTCTGACTGAGTTTCCTGTCCATGTTGTCAGGAGAGAGCAGTGGCATCAGTTAGACGGCGCTCTGTTCATGTAACAAAGCAGTTGAGATGGTCAACTTAAAAGGATGAAAGGTTTGGGGTGGCTTTTTTTGGAAGTTTCAGTCTCGTCAGGCGCCATTGCTTCTGTGTCTGTTGCTAGGTGGTGTACTCCATGGCCAGAGCGCCACGGTACTCTCAGAAGGTGGTGTGCTTTTTGTTGTTGCTGTTTTTTTCAAGACAGGGTTTCTCTGTGTAGCCCTGGCGGTCCTAGAACTGACTCTGTAGATCAGGATGGCCTCAAAGTCGCAGAGCTCTGCCTCGGATGGATGTGCTAGGATTAAAGGTGTGGGCTACCACCGCTCATCTGGTGGTGGGCTTTTAAGAGGCATCCTTTGGCTTCTTCTTCTTTGGGAAGATACCAAATGGCGGACGACGACGGTGCAGCGGGAGGGCTTGGAGGACCTGAGGGCCCAGGACTAGGAGGCTGCAGCGGCTTCAGCGAGGATTCGATTCGGCAGCGGTCTTAGGGGCAGCGGTCGTGGTCCGGGCTGTGGTCGAGGCCATGGGGCTCGTGGAGGTAAAGCTGAAGACAAGGAGTGGATCCCTGTCACCAAGCTGGGCTGCCTGGTTAAGGACATGAAGATCAAGTCCCTGGAGGAGATCTACCTGTTCTCCCTTCCCGTTAAGGAATCCGAGATCATTGACTTTTTCCTGGGCGCATCCCTAAAGGATGAGGTTCTAAAGATCATGTCATAGCAGAAGCAGACTCTGGCTGGCCAGCCAATCAGGTTCAAGACTTTTGTCGCTATTGGGGACTACAATGGTCATGTTGGTCTTGGTGTAAAGTGCTCCAAGGAGCCACTGCCATCCAAGGGGCCATCATCTTGGCCAAGCTGTCCATTGTCCCTGTGTGGAGAGGCTACTGGGGGAACAAGAGTGGCAAGCTCCACACTGTCCCGTGCAAAGTGACAGGCCGCTGTGGCTCTGTGTTGGTGCGTCTCATCCCTGCCCCCAGAGGCACTGGCATTGTCTCTGCTCCTGTGCCTAAGAAGTTACTGATGATGGCCCGTATTGATGACTGCTACACATCAGCCAGGGGCTGCACTGCCACCCTGGGCAACTTTGCCAAGGCCACCTTTGATGCCATCTCCAAGACCTACAGCTACCTGACTCCCGACCTCTGGAAAGAGACTGTGTTCACCAAATCTCCTTATCAGGAATTCACTGACCATCTTGTGAAAACCCACACCAGAGTGTCTGTTCAGAGAACCCAGGCTCCAGCTGTGGCCACCACATAAGGGTTTTTATACAAGAAAAATAAAGTGGATTAAATCTGTTAAAAAAAAAAAAAAAAGAGGCATCCTTTGGGGACTATTTATGACCTGAGCTGTAACAGCACTAGCTCCATTGGTCTTGGTTTGAGGGTAATGAGGGAAAAGTTGTCCTTCTGTCCTTCCAAGGAGCTCTGTGGCACCTCACTGTGCAAAGCTGCCTCCTGCCAGGGCCCCTCTGTGTGTTTTTAATGCCACCCAGGAGTTGGGGAGAGTTGTGAGCTGCAGTGTGGTGATTTGATGCCTGTACAGGTGGAGGGAACTACCTGATGCTTAGCATCTTCCCGTCCTTAAACTGTGGTCATATTTCCATGGCAACTTTTCGGCCCATCACTGATACTGAAATATGTGACATTTGGAAAGTTGACTCGCCCGACTCTGCTTCAGGACTGCAGAGTGCATTCTTTCTGTCAGATTGCATTTTTTTTTTTTGAATTGTAAGTTTATTTTTTAAAAAAATATTTCATGGTAACTAAAAAAAATTGAAAATTGTTTTTTTTTTATGTAATACATTTTAATTACAGTTTTCTCTCCTCTAACTGCTCCCAGATCCTCCCAACTTCCCACACACCTAAGTCCATACACTTTCTTGTTCTTTCTTTTTAGAAAGCAAATAGACTTCTAAAAAATAATAAGATAAAAACAAACAGGCAAACAAATACACAGGCAGAAAAAAAAAACCAACAAAAACTTAAGAGAAAGTACAAGAAACACATGTCAAAGCAGAGACACACACATTCACACATATAGAAATCCCATAAAAACCCAAACTGGAAACCATAATATATGAGCAAAATACCTGTGAAGTTAAAAAAAAAAAAATCGCAGACTAAGCATTTGAGACACCCTCCCCTCCCCGCCCAAAGGGCCTCCACAACCACTATTCAGTTCATTTTGTGTTGGCCATCTACTGCTGGGCGTGGGACCTGCCCCTAAAAGTGGTTTGTATATCCAGGGAGACTCCATTGGAGAAAAATTCATTTTTCCTTTGCAAGCAGTTATCAATTGGAGATAGCTTCTGGGTTAGGGATGGGGGCTTATATCCATTTCCCCTCTCACCACTGGGACCCCATCTGACTTAGACTAGTACAGACCCTGTGCATGCTGCGGGTCTCTGTGAGGTCATATGTGTGTCAGCCCTGCTGTGTCTAGAAGGCCTGCTGTTCCCTTTGTATCTTCTATCCCCTCTGGCTCGTAAAATCTTTCTGCCCCCTCTTCCGTGGGGTTCCCTGAGCCCTGGTAGGAGGAATTTGATGTCGACATACCGTTTAGGATGAGCATTCCAAGGTCTTTCACTCTGCACACTGTCCAGTTGTGGGTCTCTGTGGTTGTCCCCACCTGCTGTAGGAGGAAGCCTCTGTGATGATGGCTGAACAAGGCGCTGACTATGAGTGTAGCAGAGTGTTGTTAGGAGTCATGTTATTGCTACGTTGCTTTAGCAGAACGACAGTATTTGGTTTTCCCCCAGGTTCATGGCTGTTGCTGGTATCAGGTTATTGGCCACCTGAGCAGTGTCTTGTCTGTGTCCCCTCTTATGGAATGGGCCTTAAGTCCGGTCAGATAGGGGTTGATTACTCCCACAGCTTTTTGTGCTTCCAGTGTACCTGTGTATCTTGCATGCAGGCCACCATCGTTGACAGAAGTTTTATAGCTGGGTTGGTGTTGACTATCTCTTTGGATAGCGTGCTAATACCTTCGAGTCAGCAGGGGTGAAGGCTCTAGGCAGGCACCAGCCTGGCTTCTCCATGTTCTGTGAGTTGCTGAGGTGTTATCTCCAGCAATTGGCCGTACTCTCAGTTTGTGGAGAGCTACCAATAGCCTTGGCAACAGCCTGGGTTGTTTATGGGTTTCCATGGGGCTCCTATGGCCCACAACTCCCATGAGATGTAACCTCAAGGTTTCATTTGGTGGCAAGAGGTGTTTTGTTGTAGCTTTGTCTCCTGGTCATTTGGTGATTCCATTTAGATTTCTTTCATATTTATATATATTTTAAGAAGCTTCTACTGTAGTAGGTTTTTCTATGACCCCTCTAATGGCCCTTAGTGTTAGCTGCCCCTCCATATTCTCCCTCTTATTCCACTTTCCCTTCCCTTCCCTGGATGCTCCTGTTCAAGTCCCCTCTCCCAATCCATCAATAACTATCTATTCTATTTCCCCTTCCTGGGGAGATCCTTCCCTCCCCCATCCCTTACTCTATACTTAACCACTGTGGTTATATGGATTGTAGTCTGCTTATCGAAGACTTACTAGCTAACATCCATATACATATAAATATATACCATATTTCTTCTTTTGGGTCTGGGTCACTTCATTCAGAATGATTTTTACTAGCTCTATCCATTTACTTATGAATTTCATTTTTTTTTTACCATTTGAGTAATAGTCTATTACATAATTATACTACATTTTCATTAATTACTCGTCTGTTGAGGAATATCTAGGTTGCCTCCTCTTTCTGACTACTATGGAAAGAGCAGCAATGAACATGGTTGAGCAGGTGTCGCTGTGGTTGGATGAAGCATCTTTTGAGAATATGCCCAAGGGTGGGATAGTTGCTTCTTGAGGTAGATTAATTCCATCTCCCCAAGGAAGTGCCACACTGCTTTCCCTAGTGGCTCTACAAGTTTGCAGTCCCACCAGCAGTGGACGAGTGTCCCCTTACTCTGTGTCATCGCCAGCATGAACTGTCATTTGTTTTATCAATCTTCGCCATTCCGATTGGTGTAAGATGAAATCTCGGCATGGTTGTAAAATTGCATTTTGGTATTTGTTATCCAATCTTGTCTATCCACTCCTCCATTCTTTTTTATGTATTTTTTCTTGTGCACTTAATAATTTGAGTGATTTCATAGACAGAAGTATTAGAGTTTTTATATTTATAAAATATCTTCTTATGTTCACAGCTGGGCATGGTGTGCAGGCTGTGATTCTAGCATTTTGGAGGTACAGGCAGAAGATCATACTGTTGAAAGCCAGTGTAGGCTATGGAGGGATTCCAGGCCCCCCAGGGCTACAGGAGAGCCCCTATCTCAAAAAACCCAGAGAAAAAGGTACTTAGCAACAAAAGAGAACCTGCTCACAGGCAGCATCATGAAGTGGCCTTTCTGTTTACATGTGTTCTTGTTGTATTGTCTTTACAGCCGAAATCAGCTGTCCGCCCTGCCCGCCTGCCTGTGTGGTCTGCCTCTCAAAGTCTTAATCGCAAGTAACAACAAGCTGGGATCACTGCCTGAAGAGATAGGTCAGCTCAAACAGTTAATGGAGTTGGTATGTTACTGATTTCTAAGATGTTCTTCTTTGCTAACTAATCATAACCGTTAAAGGTTCTCCGGAAGACTTTGTTATAGACGGACAAGGAGAAGGCAGTAATCATCCTTTCCCCTCACTGTATCGAATGCCCAAGACTGGAAATGTTATAAAACAGATTGTTAAATCACAGTTTCGGAAGCTGAAAGTACATGACGAAGCTGGCCGTATCTGTTTGGCCACTGCTGAGGGATTTCCTCATCCACAGCTGATGGCATCACGGTGGGAGCAAATGTATGAGGGAAAGAGCACATGACTAGACCGGTAGCCAAACAGAGGGGGCGACGGGGACCCAGTTTTGCTATTTTATAGTGATCCACTCTCGCTGGCCCTTACTGGGGTCCTGCAAGCACTATGATAATCCTGACTAAGGCCATGTCCCAATCCTCTGATCATCTTCCATTAGGCTCCACTCCTTAAAGGATCCCCCTACCTCCTCCTCCTCCTGCCAGCCTGGAGACTAAGGTTCCGGTGCATGAACCCTTGGGACCAACATAGAAACTACAGCAGGTGCCTATTCTTTGGAGACAGCGTGTGATAAAGTCATTAAGTGAGGGGACGTGACAGTGGCATCCTTGCTGTGTGGTGTTATGGTTCCTGAAATTTACAAGTTGCCTGTGGATGACACCTGAATCTTAACAGGTTTGCAGTTTTGAAGTTGACAGGTGATGGCATTGTAGCGACATAATTTTTGCAGATTGCATTTACATACAAGAGTGTATGGTTAAGTTAGAAAAATCTCCACTATCTAAGATTGGAGGCCATACTTACTGACGTCAGAGATCAGAAAGAGCAGGGTGCTGTGATCCTGCTAGGAGTTGGGCACGTCGAGAACAACGCTGTGTTCACTCCTGGACAAAAGTTATGGGTCACTTATGCGACGAGCTGTCTTTCCCAGGGTGTCCCTTTATCCCAGCTCCTGTCTCACACCTTAGTACTGTCGCGGTCCTGTCTCGCCCAGACCCACAAATTACAGAATGTCAGAGCGCCAGCAGGTTGTAGAAGCAGTGTAGTCCAGGCTCTTCTTGATCAAAAGATGGAACCCCGGCCAGCAAGGCAATGACATATGGAGATTGACCGCTAGTGGTCACTTGAGCTGGACACCCTCATCCGTGGCACTGTCCAGTAGACATCCAAAGGAAAAAAAAAATGTAGTTTAAATGTAGTGGTGGCCACGTTTAAACAGTTAAAAGAAACAAGAGAAAGTCCTTTCTGTAATGTGATATTTAACTCTAGAGGGGCAATTTTGACCGCTATACGTATATGACAGAAAATTACTGAGATATATCTGTGCGCTTGTGTTTGTACTGAGCCCTTCCTGCCAAGTCCAGTATGTGTCTTTCAGGGGTCACATGTCACACATAGGCTCAGTCACACACTGGGTGCTCAGTGCCACCAGGGCTGTGCTACCACTTTGATTGACAGCTCTACTGACTTGGTGTGTTATGTTCTGTGGCTCCTTGGGTCTGGGCAAGTGTGCTTTTAGTGAAAAGCATTTTCGATGGGATGCAGTGACCTGGTTCAGTGGGTAAAGGAACTTGTCACCAAGCCTGGTGACTTGAGTTCAGTTCCTTGGATCCACCTGGTGGAGGGAGAGAACCAGTTCCCCCAGCTGTCCCCCGACCTCCACATATGCGCTGTGGCACACACACACACACATTAATAACAGTTAAAAAAACATGTACAACATTTATTTGTGAAGCAGGTGACATTGACTAATTATTTTATTTAACCATGAAGAGGTGGTATAACCTGCCTTGTTTAAGGTCATAGACTAAAAACAGATGATTTTTCCATCCTTTCTCATTTATCTTTGATTTAGTTTTATTTATTTATTTTGCCTAAAATAGTAGTGTTGCTCTAGGTAACCATGTCATGTCAGATTATTTTTAGTTTTCAATTGGGGAGGGAGTTCCCTGGAGAGCTAGATGTCATTTTCTTTGAACAGGAGGCTTTTGTTTTTGTAGATACAGATTACCAGTTTGTTAAAAAGAAAAGAAAAGTTGGGCACTCCCCAAGCATTCAGAAAACTCACCATTTAAGGCTTGAGTGCTGAGGAAACCACTCAGCCCACTGGACTCTAAGCATTGTTTGTTGGCTATTTTGGAAAAGCTGTTTCATACATTTTCACATCAGGGTGTTTGGAATAGAGTCATACCCACTTCTCTTAAGTGTGGATGAACATTCCACAGTTAGTGTGCACTTTAGAAAGAGACCAAATACCGCAGCCATCAGAAAGAACACAGTTGTTCCTTCTTAGTTTTGCAAGGAAGTCAAGCTACAAAGCATTTATTGTAGCCTTTTCATCACATCACGCTACCTGAGTCTTAAGACAAACAGTGCCCATGTCAGCCATTGATCTGCACAGCCATCACCCTGCACAGCCATCACCCTGCACAGACAACACCCTGCACAGACAACACCCTGCACAGACGACACCCTGCACAGACAACACCCTGCACAACCATCACCTAGCACAGACAACACCCTGCACAGACAACACCCTGCACAGACAACACCCCGCACAGACAACACCCTGCACAGACAACACCCCGCACAGACAACACCCCACACAGACAACACCCTGCACAGACAACACCTAGCACAGACAACACAGCCATCACCCTGTACAGCCATCACCTAGCACAGCCATCACCCTGCACAGACAACACCCTGCACAGACAACACTCTGCATAGCCTGCTTGTACGTCCACTTTGAGGCAGTCACTGGTGCGGTGTAATTCATGGAATCCTAACTCTGTATCTGATCCTTTTAGAGTCACTACTGAGAGCAGTAATCTAGGACATTCAGACCCCTTGCCCACTCTAGATGGTTTCTTCACCGTTTCTTGCAGCATAGATATTGTGTATGTGAGTGCTGCTTTGTGGGGAAGGGGAAGAGAAAGCCAACATTTACTCAGCATCTACTTCTGTCAGGCTGTCAACTAGTATGTTCACCGGCATCATTTCATACAGCCTTATAACCCAGCAGGGCAGGCATCATGTTTCCATGTTACAGTGAAGAGGTGCTTTTGGAGTTACTTACCTAAGGGGATGGAGCTTGCATCTCTTTCAAGTCCACATGAGGACTGAGCTCAGTGGTACAGCACTTCCGTGGCTCATGTGCCTCTCTAGCTTTCACTCCCAGAACTACAAAGGTAGTGTCTTAATTAGCATTTAAATCCTATGACCAAAAAGTAAGTTGGGGAGGAAAGGGTTTGGCTTACACTTCAGCATTGCTGTTTATCACTGAAGGAAATCAGGAACAGGAACTCAAGCAGGGCAGGATCCCGAGGGCAGCCGCTGATGCAGAGGCCATGGAGGGGGACTGCTTACTGGCTTGCTCTCCATGGCTTGCTCAGCTTACTTTCTTATAGAACCCAGGATCAGCAGCCCAGGGATGGCACCACTCACCATGGACTGGGTCCTGCCTCATTGATCACTAAATGAGAAAATGCCTTACAGCTGGATCTCATGGAGGCCTTTCCTCAGCTGAGGCTCCTTCCTCTGATGACTCTAGCTTGTGTCAAGCTGACACACAAAACCAGCCAGTATAGGTAAGTAGGTCAGTAGATAGGTAGTTAGGTAGATTGGATGGATGAATGGATGGATGGATGGATGGATGGATGGATGGATGGATGGATGGATGGATGGATGGATGGATGGGATGGTTGGATAGATGGATGTGTGGTTGGATGGATGGATGGGATAGATGGATGGATATAGTTGATAGGTGACAGATATATAGACATAGTCTAAAGCACAAGGCAGCCCCTCTCTGCTCCCCTAGACTGTAGATGAGCAACTGCTTTAGAAGGACTGTGTTTTCTTCCTCTGGAACTCCTTAGTCCAGTTTGCTGTGACATTCTTAATAAAGTCGTGACACCCTTATTAAAACTGTGACAAGCTGTGACTTGGAGTTGAGCAGGAGGCATTCTCCCTGATGCCTGTGGACGAATGGACGTGTTTGAATGTTTCCTTATTGTAGAACCAGGCCAGGTGGTGGGAAGCTGTAGACCTGTGTCAACTAAATCTCACTTAACTCATTGAAACCTTTGGAACTTGTTGAAAACAAGGTGTGTGTGTGTGTGTGTGTGTGTGTGTGTGTGTGTGTGTGTGTGTGTGTGTGCATGTATGTGTACATGTGGTATGATCTGTGCCTGTGAATGGGGAGGCCAGAGAAGGATGTTGAGTGTTCCCTAACACTCTCGGCTGTATTCCCACGAGACAGGATCTCTCATAGAGCCTGGAACTTGCTGTTTTCCAGCACGACTGGTTGGACAGCAGGCCCCAGCAGTCCTCTCGGAGACTTACACCGCCACACCTGGCTCTTAGGTTGGTGCTGGAGATGTGGCTCAGGCCCTCGTACGTGTGCTGCAAGTGCTCTTCCTGGGCCACCACTCACTGCACCCCCTCTGCCTTGTTTTCTGAGGTGGGATCTCTCCCTGAACCTGAGCTAGACGAGCCAGCCAGCCTCAGGAATCCTCTAGTTTCTGCCCGCCAGGCCGGGGGTTACAGGCAGCCGCTCTGTGTCCATCTTTTCCCATGGATGCTGGAGATAGAAACTCAGTGCTCCTCTGAGGGTTTCACTGGCGGAGTCGTCTCTGGAAGCATGGTTCTTTTTCTGTGCAGTCCGGCTGCATGATGAGGTGCGTGGGGTGAGAGGTGCATTGTAAATACCACGTGTTACACTTCACTGGCAGCTGTGAGGCATACTAACAGACACACTAACGGTGTGAACAAGCATACTAACAGCTCGGTAAAGTTGGGGCCTTTTATGGATGGGACATTTGCCAAAGGCTCGGGAGCTCCACCCTGCTCCTGTGTGCTGAGTGGCTTGCTGGCCGTGTTCACTTTTTCTCTATTCTGTCCTCACCCATTCCCTCCCTGGGTGAGCAAAAGAACCCAAGGCCTGACTGAGGAACCTGTCTTTGTAACCAGAAAGCCCACCAGGCTGGACCCGGTCATCCTGGTTGGCAGGTGTGTTTCCAGGCCTTCCCTAGACACATGGTTTTTTTTTTTAAATCCTCTTTTCTTGAACTGTTTGTTTGTGTAGGGAAGTTGAGCTAAAAGACAGATGACAAACGTCTGCAGAGAGTCCTCCCCCATCACATTATGCCTAATGTTCCTGCCTCTGAGGTGGGATGGTGGTGTGGCATTGTGCCCGCTGTAATCATTTGTCCATTAGTGGTCTCTGGAAATGTCTTTGACCTCTTTGGTTTCTGTGGAAACTCAGGAATTGCTCAGGGTCCCTCTGTGGCTTCTATTTCTGTTTATTATCAAGAACAGGGCGTGAAGCCTGTGTTTGTGGTGTGTGGAGAGGTATGAGGTACAGTTACACATTGGACAGACAAGGGTGTTAGGAGATCACCCATCACCTCAGAGGTTGCTCAAAAGGGTTCAAATTTAAATCAATATACGATATTTTTTTTCTTTTCGTTTTTCAAGTTCTGACCATAGGCATTGAGGGTTGTTTCATGACCAAGAAATGAAAGTTGACATTATTGAGTACCACTCAGTGTTTTCATTATTTCTTGTGTAGTTCATGGGTTTTCCCAGTGTTAGGAGAAAAATTACAATTATTTAATACTCATTTATTTGTTGGTTTGTTCGGTGAGTGCAAGCTAGGAAACTTGGCAGAGTGAGCGCTCTCCTTCCACCATTGGCTTCCGGGTGTCCGGGAGTGAACCAGAGTCCTCAGGCTTGGTAGCAGGTGCCTTTTGCAAACTGGCTCTTTTGGCGCTCACCTCTCCTTTTTATATGAGCACGCGGAGGGTAAGACACTTGCCTAAAGTTGCAGAGTGAGACGAACCAAAGGCATCTCTACAGAAGGGCGTGGGTCCGTGGTGGTTGGAGACTGCTGATAATTTGCTTTTCCACCAGCTACACAGAGACCTGATTTTCTCAGACATTCTTTTGCTGGTATTATACCACTCTGTCACTGAGTGTGGTTTAAATCATTGGTAGACTCTAAATCAGAGTTGGGTTAACTGGTCCATGAAAAGCTTAGATTTGAGTATTAATATTGTTATGATTAGATTTGCTTCTCTATTGGGCAGAATTAAATCAGTAAATATTTGTAACAGTTTCGCATGATTCTTGTGTTGTACAGTTGTGATGTTATAACATGGAACGCACAGCAAATTTCCCTGGCGCTCGGGTTAGTTATTCTCTGAGACATAGCAGCTTGGGGCTAATAGAAAATTCAGAAGGAATTAATTTGAATATTCTAGTAAGTAAATGAATGCAGAATTTACAGTCTGGTAATTTTCACTAATTGCAGTAAGGCATTGCTATTTATTTTTTAATTTATTTTTCTAAGTATTGTCTTTTCAAAAGTAATCTTTAAAAAGCTCTAGGCCGTATCTAGGCCAAATTTGCACAGAAACGTTCCAGAGAATGAGGCTATTTGAGAAATATTGCTTGTGCATTTTCAAGACCAAAACATCCCCAGACATGTAGACTATTATCTCTTTTTCCTCCTCCTCCTCCTCCTCCAGCTAATTAGACATAATTACCCATGGGGTTTATTTTTATGATGAAATTCATAACCTCTTTAAAAATTTGGTTAGGTTCAGTGGCTCCTGGGGAGTAGGACTTGCTCTGGTTTTTTTTTTAAACCATATTGAATGTACAGTGGCATACAGCCTGTCCCTCCCTTATGTAATAGATTTGCTTGGCAATTTTCTGCTTACCATTTCATTTTATTGGAGACATAACTAGTAGGAACGTAGAGTATTATTAACATAGTTGACGTACACCCTTCAAACTCTGAGCAGGCCGCTGGCCTGTGCTTGCGCTTGTCCACAGGTATCCCGTCTCTTGGGTGGAACGGTTGGTTGGGTGCCTTTGGGATGCAGTAGTGTAGTGTGTGTAGTAAGTAGGTGCTGTGTCTGCCAGCACGTGTGTAAATACAGCCTGCAGGAGTTGGCTTTGTTCGTGAAGGCCATGGTGTTAGGGGTTTGTGCTGGGAGGAGTCACCTGGCTTTAGGGGTCCAGCATTCTTCGATGCCACCTTTAACTGGGAGCATTTGACACAGGGCAAGGTATCTGTAGTTCTTCCTAAGAATGGAGCAAGGCTGAGTTTGATCTCAGGACAGGGCATTCTGTGAGTGTATTGCCTAAGCTTATAGGTTATCCTTTGGCTTCCCTTTTCCCACTCATTCTTTTAAGAAACTTGTGGAAATTGTTGATTTCCCACTGAGATGTGTCTTCGTAAGCAATGCAGAGCTTTCCCATGCATTCACTTACATGACTTGCAGAAACTTAATGTATAGTTTAGTAACACGAATCCTCTCCACAGATAGAAAATGATTCCCACAGATTCTTCCCTACAACCCTTCCTCCACTCCTGACATCATCACTCCTGGGCCAGGCCTCCTCTAGAGTCTGGAGTACAGTAGAGTGATCTGATGTGACCCCCATCTCAGGCTTGCCTGGGTTCCGTGCTTGTGAGGGCTGTTGTAAACCAGAATGAAATGGCCCCATTGCTGATTTATAACTTAGTGAAGGCACGGAAAGATCCAGTTCTCACAGAAAGGATTTGCTTTTGGACCTCAGGGCTGATCAGATTTAGGCTACCACCTAATTCTGATTTTCACTTTCTTGTACAGTTTTATTTCTGCAGATGTACTGGTGGAGGTCTGTTGTCGTTACTTTGTCTTAAACACTGGAGGTGTGTGTGACTTTCCTAGATCAGGAGAAAGGCAGCCGCTAAGGTGGTATCCTGAAGATGCTGTGACCCTAACCCTTCTCACCCTGCTTCCCCACCCAGTTGCTGGCAGGAGGATGCAATACGTCACCTCTTCCATGCATACCATTTTTGTAGACTGCAGCCTCGTACTCTTGCACCAGAGGTGATAATTGTGCCTCTGTGAAGAAGTGTCCATTGGGCGGGCTTGTGACTGATGAGGATCACCCGAGGGTTTTGAGACGGCAAAGCTAGAAGATAGGGATCACCGACTGACACAGCCCTGCTCCAGCAGGGCTCCTGGTTGTGGGGTTGAAGTAGTGAGCAAAACATTGACTGACTAGTGATGCATTCATCTAGTCTGAAAGAAAGGGAAGTGGACTTTTTGTAACAAGGCCTTGGTGACCTCTCAAGTGAAAGGATGGTTTGCAGGTTCATAAATAATGTGGGCTGTTGGATGACTAAACCTCACAGGGAGAATTCATAGCCTGAATTTGTCTTTGGTTCCGTAAGAGCCAATGGGGCCTGCATGGAATTTGAGTGATATGTGAAAACATTCTGGGGTCCCAGCTGCAAGGTAGAAGGAGCCACAGTATTATGGAGCCTATCTGCATCAAAGGGTATTGGAAATTTCATCCCTGCCTTACACCTGGCACTCTGCTAGGCACCAGAAAGATGGAGAGAGTGTGCCAGGGATCCTCTCACCTAGAAACTCCCATCTTTGCAGGAGAAGGAGGCTAAGGGAGCAAGTGAGTTACAGGTACACACTGCCTGTATAGACTACAAAGGGAAAGGGGAAAATATCCATCCCTGGGTGTTGTTCAGAGCAGGAGAGGATCATGGGAATGGTAAGTTGAGACTTGAGTTGAGCTGTAACAGGTGAGTAGGAGATCAAGAGGACACACCAGAGCTAGCATCTCAAGCAGGGCGGGAAGCCTGAATGAGTTTTGGGACTGTGAAACAGTATGGGCCTACACCAAAACTCTCAGTGGTGACTGTATGGCTTGAGTGTTGGATGCAAGAGAGAACATTCAGAGCATAGCCCTGGAGAAGCTGACAGACCGCCTCACAAGGGCCGGGCCTTGCTAAAGCTTAAGTTGATGAACAACAGAATGGAATTTGTACTGGGATAGCTCTGAGGGGATGGATGTGAGGGCTGGCGGAGGAACAGAAGCCAGCCAGAGGATGTCATGGGCAAGAGTCCTTTGGAGAAATAACATAGTCAGACTGAAGGAGGTTCTAGAATTGTAGGAGAAGGAAGCAAAGCCCGGCAGCCTACTGGAGCTGCAGGGAAGATGGGGGGGTGGGGTGGATAATGAGTTTCTGTAGGGTAAGAAGAACCATGTCTTTATTTTACGTGGCACCAGCTGCTTCTAATCAAGGATTAGTGGGGTACTACCCTTCCCAAACAGAGATGACAAGATCCTTGTACCCCACAGACCTGCTTACCAAATGTGTGGTGCAGTGGTCGGCCACAGCTTTCTACCATGTGATAGGAAGTCCATTTGGAATAAATTGCATAACCAGCTGGTGTGCCAATAGTTCTCTGTGTAAAAGCTTGGTATGATGGGAGTCCGTGTAACTTTCCTTCTGTAACAGTAGCTGGTAATTCTTTCCTAATGTCAACTGTCTGGGGTCACAAAGCTTCATTTTCTCAAGTTGTGAATATGAGCTAGTAATATTGCCTTGAAAGTTTGTGGTGGGTATTGAATAAGGTCTCTGCAGCTTAAAAAAAAAAAAAGAGTGACAAAAACAGCTAGTGAATGTCACTGATGTCTTTTCTCCCCACAAAGGCAATTGGAAGCCAAACTCCTTTTCTCCATTGTTGGGCTCCACTGACTGGGGACCCGGAGAGCAGTATAAAAGTATAATGTGGAGTTATACAAGCATTTAAGTTCTTTGAGGCGAATTCAATGAAATGCTTGAAGAAAAAGGCATTTTATTATCCCTGTTTGACCCCCCCCACCCTCAACCCCCTTCTTGCTGCAGGACGTCAGCTGCAATGAGATCACAGCCTTGCCCCAGCAGATAGGCCAGCTGAAGTCTCTACGAGAACTGAACGTCCGAAGAAATTACCTTAAGGTTTTACCACCAGGTAAGAGAGAGGAGGGCAAGATGAAGAGAATGCGGGAAATGTCACTCTTCCCATTCACTTCTGTGAGGGGTGGTGGGTCTGGTGTTAACAGCTCACTGGTTGCTATTGATAATTTGAATCTCACTGGCAGATATCAGAACAATGTTCAAGCTGTAGTTTGAATCAAGGCTACAGCAACACAACCATTAGTGGGATGCATGTTAGCTTTCTAGGGCTTGTGGCAGAATATTATTTTAAAGTGTGTCATTTTTGTTTATGTTATATTTGTTTAACTCTATGAAGCTGTTTTACTGTCTAAAACACCTGATGGCCTAATAAAGAGCTGAACAGCCAATAGCAATGCAGGAGAAAGGATAGGCGGGCTGGCAGGCAGAAAGAATAGAAAGAAAAATTTGGGAGCAAAGGAAGAAGCAGCCAGAGAAAGAGAGGATGTCAGGAGCCAGTTACACAGCCAGCCATGGAGTAAGAGTTTAAGGTTACAGAAGTAAGAAAAGGAAAAAGCCCAGAGGCAAAATGTAGATGGGATAATTTAAGAAAAGCTGGCTAGAAGCAAGCCAAGCTAAGGCCGAGCATTCATAAACAATAATAAGACTCTATGGGTAATTTTTTGGGGGGGCTGGGTGTTGAACCTCCCAAAAGAGTAAAAAAGCAAAAACAAACAACAAGGGCTGCTATGAAAAGGACCACAGAGACGGTGGCTCAAATGACAGAAATGCGTCTCTTCACCATTCTGGAGGCTGGAAGCATGAGATGAAGGTACGGACTGGGTTATTCCTTCCAAGGCCTTTTCCCATGACTCACAGATGGTCTTCTTCCTGTGTCCTCAGAGCCTCTCACTATTTATGTCCGTGTCCTGATCTCTTTCAGCTGTTATACCAGAGGATGGGAGGTCTAATCATAATGACCTCAGTGTCACTTAATTACCCCTTTAAAGACCTCATCTCCAAATACCATTAAATGATCGGGGTTAGGATTTCTATATCTGAATTTTGGGGTGAGGGACTTGGCTAATCCATAACATGGTGGAATGCATTCTTTTGGGGAACATGTCCATGTTTTCCAGAACATGAACATCAAAGAGTCTGGAGGGGACAAGTGGGGCAGTAGACCCTGGCTATCAGGGTCTCTAGCTTTGGGGTCTGGGAACACTGGTTGAGAACCCACAATATCTACACTCCACCTCTAGGGGAGGGCGACGCTACTGCTGAGTCACCCTTGAACTGGGGTCGCTCTGATCAGTACTGGTGATGCCCCTAAAGCTTTGGCATGGACACTTGTCACAGTATCTATCCCCCAGACAGCCCTGCGTGGGCTCTTGCAGTAGTATGTCTCACGGGTCCAGGGCATGAGGGTTTAAGCATAAAGACATATTTACTTAGAAGTTGTTAGTGCGTAAGGGGTATTGGGGGGATAGCTTCGTGTGTAAAGTGCTGGTCCCCAAAACATAAAAATGTAAGTTTGGTTCACCAGCACTCACAGAAATGCCAGGTACGAGCTTGGCAGAGTGCACCTGCAGCCCTAGCACTGAAGAGGTGTGGAGATAAATGGATCCCTGGAGCTCATTGGCAGGCAGCCTGGCCAAATCAGTGGGCTACATGTAGGTTCAGTGAGAGACTGGCCTCGTGAGCATTAACTGTCGACATGACATGACCCAGAGTCACCCGAGAAGAGTCTCAGAGTCGTCTTTATCAGGTTGGTTTGTGGGCATTTATATGAGGGATGGTCTTGATGGCCGATTGCTGTAGGAGGGTCCATCTCACTGTGGGTGGCACCATCCCTAGGCAGGTGGTCCTGGGCTGTGTAAGAAAGGCAGCAGAGAGAAACACAGCAAGCAGCATTCCTCCATGGCTTCTGTTTCAAGTTTCTGCTTCAGTTTGTACCCTGGCCTCTTTCACCATGGACTGTGCGACCTGGAAGATAGAGTAAGTCTTCTCCTCCCTTAACTTGCTTTTCACCAGAGTGTGTTATCACAGCAACGGGAGAGAGAGAGAAGAGCAGGGATCCTGTCTCAGATATGAAAACAAGTCAGAACAAACAAAAGTGAGAGCCATAAAGACACCTGACGACAAACTCCGCCTCTCACCTGTTCACACATGTACATGGAAAGTGTGCATGCACACGTGGCACGCACACAGTTTAATTTCATTTCTGTTTCTGTGATAAGACACCCTGATAAGAAGCAACTCAAGGGAAAGCGATTATTTTAGCTCATAGTTCCAGGTTACAGTCTGTCATGTGAGGAAATCAGGCGGGAGGAACATGAGGGAGCTGGTCACATGCATAGTCAGTCCAGAGAAAGAATGTTTGCTTGTTTATACTGAGTTCATTTCTCCATTAGTACATAGCTCATAGTACATACTCCCTCTGTAGTGAATGGTGCTGCCCACAGTGGGCTGGATCTTCCCATATTAACTAACTTTGGTAAGACAATTAAAGCTAACCATCACAACACACATGCCACACACACTGGTCAGGGGCCAGGAGATGAGAAGCAGAAGGCCAAGTACTTCTTCAAAACATACTCTACTTTCCAAAGACCACGTTGATGTCCATAGATTTTGTTTAAGGGCCCTCTGGTGTCCAGGATACACGTTACAAATCTTAATAGTTCTTTGAGAGTTTCATACAACATGTTTTGATTCTATTACTCCCCCTTCCCCAGCTTCTTACCAAACACTGACTTCCTATCAGCCAACTTTGTGTCCTTTTTTTTTTTTTAACTCAAGACCAATTTGTACTACCCAATTACTCTCGGATGTGTAGCCTTCCATGGGAGCATAGTCAATTTACCTGGGGCTACACTTTTTAGATAAAATTGTCTCTCTCTCTCCTAGCAGCTAACATTCACAAATAACTCCATGGCTAGGGGTGGGATTTTCTGCCCACTTTCCATCTCCTTGCTGGGTTTGGTCTTGCATAGGTTTTGTGTATGCTGTTGTAGCTGCAGCAGATTCATATGTTAAGCTGCCCTGCTGTATCCAGAGATCATTATTCCCTTGTAGTTATCCCCCTGCCTCTGCGTGTTACACTCTTCTCACCCTCTCCTTCCCAATGATCCCCAAGCTTTGGGAGGAGAAGAAGGTGGAGTATTTATGTCCCACTTGGGGCTGAGTCTCTTAGGGTTTAGAGATGCACTGGACTATGGATATAACAATAAGTTATTAGGAGTCAACGACAATTTTTAGCAGAATAATAATAGTAGATTCTACCCCAGGACCTATTACCTGTCTAACCATAGGTTGTTGGCCCCATTTTTAATGGTGCTAGATATGGGTTTCATCTTGTAGGGTGGACTTAAATCCAATCAGAAAGTGGTTGGTTATTTGCATGATGTCTGAGCCACCATTGTACAAGTGGGCGTGGCTTGCCAGACCAGTCATTATAATTCCCAGGGTTCATACCTGGGTAAGGTTGAAGATTCCTTTTTTCCTCAGGTAGCATGCACAGCACTTTCAAGCTCTGTGAATGCTGGCTAGTAGGGATGACGCTTCCAGGTCAGTACCGGCTAGATTTAGCTATGTTCTATAACTTAAGCGTGCTGCCCCATTACAGGTTATCAGGTAACCCCTTTTTAACTCTTCTTATGTAAGCACATCGATGCATTTAGGAAGCTTCTGCAATAGCAAGTTTCCGTGACTCTTTTGAAAGGCATCTCAGTGCAGAAGTGTACACCTGGAAGCAGCAGGCATCCAGCTCATGTGGCATTTGTTAGTGTGGTGTTTGGAAAACTGCCTGAGCTTTGCCATCCTGTTACTGCTTTCTTGTTCAAGACATGGGAACAGCTTCTGAAGCAGTGTGGGGAATCTTTGTAAAATGCGCTGCGCTTGATGGTGGAGGGCGCCGGTGTTTTCCCCCTGGCTCATGTTGGCTTGCATTCGAAGAAGAATTAGAAACTACCTCCATGTAGGACTCATTGCCTTATCTGAGATGAGCTCATATAACGAGATTTCCCTTTTCCACTGGCTCCTGCGCAGTCTCATTTCCTTGAGTGTATAAAACTATTTTCCTGCCAGGCGGTGGTGGCGCACACCTTTAACCCCAGCACTTGGGGGGCAGAGGCAGGCGGATCTCTGTGAGTTCAAGGCCAGCCTGGTTGACAGAGTTCCAAGACAGGTTCCAAAGCTACATTTGGGAACCCTGCCTTGAAAAACCACCACCACCACCAACAACAAAAGCCCTATTTCTCCTAATAATCATAACTGCAAATAAAAGTAATTATAACTCCAAACAAAATTTTAATTCACAGCACATCTGCACAGTATAGCCTTTCAGGCTTGCTATTAAGAAGCCCCTCTGCATTTAAGCGCCTGTGATAATCATTGTGACAATGTCATAAATAATTGAACCCATTTCCAGAAGGGAAAAACCAGTGACATCATTGTGTGGCGACAGTGTGGCACCTGGGAAGAGAGCACACGTGCCGAGCCTGGTTTGCGTTTCTCTGACCATTTTCTCTCCCACCTTAAGAACATTCTTTTCCCTAAAAAAAAAAAAAAACAAAAAAAAGCAAAAAAAACCATAGGTTACACCTGCCTCTGCCTTTCCATAATTATGTTTTCTCGGCTTTGATGTTTTAAAATACACCCAAAGCTAAAATGTAAGTTTACTGGAATGTCCTTTTTAAAAAGGGGAAAAAAAATCTGAATATCAAGTTTCTGTCTCAGCCTGGAGAACCCCGTTGACGAGGGTGTTGATGCCACTGGGCAGCCCATCAGTGACCTCCCATCTTTAATTACATTTTCTCTCTTGGGGAATCTCTCCTCATATGTTTTTAATTTGAGGAGGGGGAAAATAATAGAAGTTTGCAGCCCAGTTACCCCAGTCAGTGTTGTGTGGTTTTACAGCTGAGGTAGTGGGGAGGCCATGCTTCCTTCTTTTAGGACAGGATGGCGGGGAACTGACGCAGCTAGTCATTGCCTCTCTTGGAATGGAGAGAGGTGTAGAGTTCTTCCTCCTCTTCCACCTCCCGCACCTTCCTCTCGTCTTCTTTCCCCTTTCCCTCCCTCCCCCGCTGCCTTTCTCCTGCTCTGTTCTTCCTCTTCTTCTTTTCCTCCATTCCTCTTTTCCTTTTCTTCCTCTTCCTGTTTGCCTCCCTCTTCCTGTTTTGCTGCTTCTCCACTTCCTCTTTTCCCCCTTCTTGCCTCGCCTCCTTCCTTTACCTGTTCTGCCTCTTGATCCTTCCTGGATCAGCCTTGCAAGGTGGTCGTTATGGTCATTACCTCCTATGCATTACTGCTGTAAGACCGCCGAGTTCTCATTCCTGACACCACTGAGTGTTGGAACCCGTGGACAAGGCAGTGGCATCCTTACCTGTTCGCCTGTGAGTTCTCCACTCCCCTGAACGGTCCCCTGCTCGCGCTTCCTAGTCTTCGTTTTAATTGGTAAAGAATTGCTGGGAACGCTTGCTACATAATAGCTATTGTCTGAAAAGCCCCATTTCTTCTAGCAAAGGAGTCATAAAAGCCATGGCCCACAGAACACAGGGTGCCATTAAATTTTGGCCCTGGTGAGACCGCTTAACTCTGAAGTCACCCTGCCCTGGAAACCCCAATCCTTAGCTGACCTACACACTGTAACATACAAGTTCGTTTGTTTGTTTTGGGTCACATTGACACACGGTCAGGTCATCTGGGAAGAGATCCTCAGTTGAGAAAATGCCTTCATCAGATTAGCTTGTTGGCAAGTCTGTGGAGGCATTTTCTTGACTGGGGAGCTCCAGCCCCCTGTGGGTATTACCCCACCTTGGCGGGTGGTCCTGGGTTCTAGGGGGAAAGCAGGCTGAACAAGCCTTGAGGAGCAAGCCTGTAAGCAGCGTTCCTCCATGGCTTCTGCATCAGCTCCTGCCTCCAGGTTCCCGCCCTGCCTTCCCTTCATGATGGACTGAAGGTGTAAGCTGAAGTACGCCCTTTCCTCCCCAGGTTGTTTTTGGCCGTGGTGTCTCTCACAGCAGTAGAGACACTAGGGCAGGGTCCTCCTGTGGCTGGTGTTACTATGGCAGGGTCCTGCTATGGCAGGTCCTAATTTCCCTTTCCTTTCAGCCTAGCTGCCCCCGTGACTCCTCCCAGCCACATCAGAACAACCTTTGGGAGTATGTATGGCCTGAGACTCGGGGCTGCCCCCCCCTGGGGATTGGAGCTGCTCGGGGCAGTGTGGGCATACAGATTCCTTGGCATATGTTTTGAAATACAATTCCCAAGTTTTTCCTTTAGAGCATGCACGGACTTCACTTGGAAACCTGGGAGCTGGGTGTTCTTCATCCTTCTAGAGTTCTGGTCTCATTAGTCCATTCTGGAAGACCGAGTGCTGCAGTGAGGCATGAATGAAGGAAAGCCCCTAACATTCCCAGGGCCTTGAGTTCTGAGAAGACGCTGCTCTCACCCCAAGGGAGTAGTGTTGGGTGAGCTAAAGTAGTCTGTAGAGTTGACTGAAAGCCTCGGCCATGTGGTGGAGCAGGCTGGTGCCCTTTCCTTCAGGTCCTCTCCCTAGCCATCTTCTCTTTTAGAAGGCCGGAAGTATTCGAATCCACTCTGTTTTAGCCTTTAACAGCTCCCATACCCAAAGTGCGGGGCACTGTTCTCAAGTGACCCCACAGTAGTCACCACCCAGCCAGCTCTGAGATCTGCCAGCGTCACCCTAGGTTCTGGCATGGCTCAGCCTCCCTTGGCTCTCTGGGGATTTGACTTCATTCCTAGCAGCTGCCAGTTTGGGTCTGAATGCTTGAAATTGCTGAGTGCTTACTGTGCCGCTGGGTGGGAAGCTCAGGCTAAATGCAGCGTCTTCTCCTGTGAGCTGCCCCGTGGACGGCTTCAGAGGCCACAGAATGAAGCCCAGCCAGATCGGAATTATGGGGCCTTTTGGAAAATCCTAAATTAGTTAGCACTAGGAAAACAAACAAAACAAAAAACAAACAGACAAACAAAAACCAACCTCTGAGATAATCAGGAACATATTTGCGGAAACTCTCTCTGGGCCTGTGCCAACTCAGTGACAGTGAATAGAGAAGGGTTTTCTGTAATTGGCAAACATTCATGGTCAGCAAGTGCTTCAGGAAAATGAGCTACAGTTAGAACAAACATGTTCTGTGTGGCATGGCTCATTCAGTCCCTTCGCTGGAAGAAAAACTGGCTCTTCGGATAATGTGAATGGCAAGCGTTCCCAGTACGGTCTGTAATGACTGAGCATCCAGGGAAAGGTTTCCCCCATCCGGGGAAATACTTCATACACGTGCCATGTATTCCTAACATTAGCACAGCTTACTTTTGATTCTGCCGAACAGCTCATCTCCAGTTACACAGAAAGTTATTTTTCGAGTGTGGGGCCACTTGATCCTGCTGTTTCCTGAGATCATTCTTGCTTTATTAATTTTCCCCCTTTTCTCTATCATTTCAGAACTCGTAGATCTCCCCTTGGTCAAGTTTGACTTTTCCTGCAACAAAGTTCTGGTGATCCCCATCTGCTTTAGAGAGATGAAGCAGTTACAAGTGCTCCTGCTGGAGAACAACCCTCTCCAGTCTCCTCCGGCTCAGGTGAGGACTCGGCCAGAGCCGCGGCCAGGCCTGTGCAGAGCGGCACAGTGAGTCGTCACAGAACCCCTGCTCCGGGACCCTCTGCACACCCCAAACTGCACTCAGCATGATGAGATGCAGTCAGCACCCCCCGACAGCAGAACTTTAAGTAAATCTGACTAATAGATTGCCTCAAGCTGCATCACATCTGTGCCCACATCTGTGTTACCGTTTTTTTTGAGTGATCCAAGGCCAGAATTACAGGTTTGATAATATACCACTCAGTCATACATTTGAAGCTTTTTCATAGAGTATATGGGCCACAAAGCGGGTAATATATTCGTTAGCTGGGAAAACAGAATTTAAACGTCTTAAAAATGATTGTTGATATTTTTGAGACGGGGAATCAAACGTAAAACTGTGAAAACGCTACAAAGTATATATGTTTCTGCATACAAATGAAATTATTTTACAATTTATTTTGTTTTTAAACAGCATAATGGCTTATTAAATCTATGATTATCTTTTCAACTTTTAATTGCTCTCTGTGAACTTGAATATAATTGTGGTTTTTTTCACCTTTTGAGTTGGACTATTACCAATATTGTCTGATTTTTATAAATCTTACACTATTGTCATTTAAATATGTTTTTGTTAGAATTTAGTAGTTGCAAAAGCTTAGGGATTTCTTGAGCATGATTTTCTGTTCAAAGTAGAATTTGGAGTGAACTGTCCTGAGAATTCTTATGTGTTTAGTATCCATTGTTAGGGTGTTACTCACCATGACGTTCTGAAGATTAAATTACATGGTCAGGGACCTGGAACTTACATTTTGTTTTCTCACTGAGAAGTAAATATGCATTACTGATTTCTCCACAGATTTGCACAAAAGGCAAAGTGCACATATTTAAGTATCTGAGTATACAAGCATGCCAGATTAAGACGACTGACCCCCTCTACCTCCACGCCATGGAGAGGCCTCATTTACACCAGCATGTAGAAGACAGGTGAGTTAAAGCCTTCCTCCCTGAGAGAGCCTGCTTAGAGTGTGCTTAGCCACAGCTGCCCAGATGACTGGAAGCCAGAATCCATCTGTGTGATTCACATGTATGACTTTGAGCTTGAGAAAATCATGGCATACAAAAAATGGATGCTAGAGAGAATCGCTAATATCTCTAATCTACCTTCTCATCGATAATCAGTTCTTCCTGAACACATGTGTAGATGCTCATAAACAAGATTTATAATGGATGTTTATGCTTACAATTAGCATGGCTATATCAAATTATTATGGTAAAACGTACATTTTTTTTAAAATTGGTGTTATTAAGCTGGGCATGGTAGCATACACCTGTGATGTCGGTATTTAGGAGACAGAGGAAAGAGGATCATGAATTTAGGTCATATTGTAGGTCATATTTGTAGGAGTTATCAATTTTCTGTATACCTACACTGTTAGTTGTGTATTAATATTGTTAAGACCCGTGGGCTTCAGTTTTTAAGATGCAGTGTGGAAAATTTTCCCATTTCTTGTTTCATGTGAAATTGTTAGAATCTGTTCAAGCATCCTTGGGCCATTTTGTGCTGTAAGACAGGCCATGAGCATCCAGAGAACAGAGTTACCACAGTGACACTAAAGAAATAGATTCTTCCTGAGGCTTCTCCAGGGCAGGGATCATTTGCTTTGCTTTTTGCTAAACAGGGTGACTTGAAATTTCATGCCACCTTAATGGCATTTTCAAAATAATGCTTTAAATATATTTTGATTATTTTAAATTTATATTACCAGGTATAGTTAATCACAGGAAAGGTTTTCAAAATGATTGAAAATAATGTTTTATTACCTATGAGATAAAAACAATTATATAATCTTACTGTTTCTATATATGTACCAATAAAATAAAATTGGTAACTGTTTCAAAGAAATAACTTGTCCCTCAGAGGAGGAAGCCCAGAATACAAAGAATTTCTGATGTTCTCAGGAGGCGTGTATAGTTTTCATCATGCCCATATCTTAATAGTTCTTAGAACTAGACTGATTTGTTGCCACATAATAATAATTACAATGATAATGATAAATTTTATATAATGAAGTTATTACATTTTAATTGGTATTTCTTGGGGTCAATTTTATGATTTTTCATTTTTTTTTCCTAAACAAATTCAATGATGATGACATCTACCCAGTAAGAAGGATTCTGATTCCGGAGTTGGAAGTGACAATGGAGATAAGCGGTTGTCTGCCACCGAGGTAAATGTGGTGACACATTATTGTCCTTTGTTCTGGGTCCATCTGTCTGTGTCCACTAAAGTCTTTTTCTGGAGAAAGCCACTGGCACATTTGAATGATTTGAATTGACAGTTTAATCACATTTGTGATCATGGCTCGGAACCCCTAAGGGTTACGCAAATATTAGCTGCTGTCGCTCTGCAGATCTTATTATTTTGGAAGTAACTCAAAAATTGGGTCACTGTCTTTTCCTTTTTCCACTCCCACATTATGTAGAATATTCTTCAACACTAAGTAAACATTATGAACGGACCAAGTCCTGTACAAGTATGAAGCACTTTTATAAATAAATATACCTGTCTTTAACAGTAACTTAGGGAAGCGTGGTTATGAATATTCAGAAATGTTAAGGAATCAAATGTGCATTGGGTTTGAGTGGCTTATTTGCTGAAATGTTTGTAACCAGCCATTGCATTTTTAAAATGTTTAAGTTAACATGTGTGTTCAGAGGGTACATATGTGTCTCAACATGTATAGAGGTTAGAAGGCAATGTGCTGGAGTCAATTCCTTCCTTCCACCGTGTGGCTTCCTGAGATTGAGCTCAGGAGGTCATCAGACTTGGCACCAAGTTCCTTTACTGGTGAGCCATCTCACTGGACCTTACCTACAGTTTTTAAAACAATATTTATATTTCTGGTACTTCAGCTGTGTTCTGTTCAGAAAACTAAATTTATTTGTAAGCTCAGCCAAATCAATCTGGCATGATCGAACTTCCTCTAGTGATGGAGCACACTATCCGTGACTTTTGTTTGTTTGTTTTTTGAGACAGGGTTTCTCTGTCTAGCCCTGGCTGTCTTAGAACTCTATGTAGACCAGGCTGGCCTTGAACTCAGAGATCTACCTGCCTCTGCCTCCTGAGTGCTGGGATTAAAGGCATGTGCCACACTGCTTAGCCACCATTCATGTCTTTATTGCCTCATGTATGGTCTGTTAGATGCACACGATACCCCTGCGGTCACAATGATTAGATCCATTACTTCATCTAAAGAAAACACATTTTTATTGAATGTGATTTGAGGGCATTTTTTTTTTCCAATTCTCTTCTGGTTTTGAGCTTTAGCAAGCAGAAAAGTTTATTTCCAATAAAACGTGCTATAAAGTAGCATATTTAAAAACAAAACAACCTAAAATTTGGTGGCTAGGGGGATGGGTTGGTTAGTCTTGTAAAATGCTTTCCATGCAAGGGTGAGGACTGGAGTTCGATCCCCAGAGCCGCTGGAAAAGGCAGGCCCAGAAGTCCAAGCCAGCAATCCCACTGTGAGGAAGAGAGGCAAGAGGAGCCCCGGAGCTGCAGGGCAGCCAGCCCAGCCAAATCGGGGGATCCGGGTTCAGTGAGGGGACCCTGGCTCAAGAAGAGTGTGGAGAGGGACGGAGGGAGATTCCCAGCATTGACCTTTGGCCTCCACATGCTACACACACAGGAAATCATGCATCCATGCGCGCGCGCGCGCACACACACACACACACACACACACACACACACACACACACACACACAAATTAAAATTCCTCAACATTTTTCTGATGAAGAATTTTTTTCTTTTTTTACATTTTTGAAGAAGAATTAGTAGGAAGAAAAAGGCGAGTTGGCTGTGGTTCCTGGGTGGGGTGGGAATGCCGAACACATTGCTTTTCTATGTTACAGTCTATTTAACCCCTTGGACTTCATGAAAACTCCTCAGTCCCCTCAAATGGACCATTGTTGCGGACACTACCCACCCTGGGCTTATTTTCCATTAAATTGAAACAAGCTCTCCTTTATCTCTCTTCTAAGAGTAATTAAATTCATTAATAAAACATCACACAAAGAGCTTCATTATCCTTCTCTCTCTTGTAAGTAGGATGCTAATAGCATTCTGAAGAGCGCCCGAGGATTTGCTCTCCCCCTTTAATTAAACGCATATCTTTGGACTTCTGCTAACTGTAAGGGTAGGAGGTGGATGGAGGGGAAAGGGGACTGTAGAAATGATTATAATTCAGTAGAATAAAATGAATGAGTCTTCTCTTTGCCTTTCCCATCTCACATGCTAAACTCATTGTCTAAGCACACCTAAAATACTTCTTCTTTTTTTTTTATAGTGGTAAGGTTTTGAATTATACTACATGGTGTGTTATTTTTGTAGAAGTTTTGGCCAAGATCACACCCCACTTAAACCTCTTTGTTGGGGTCAGTAGTCACCCCTGTACCTTTTCTCTGACGGTTGCCATTGTCTGATTGACTTAACATTGGTCATGAAAACAGTAAATTCATGTTCTCCCCAAGTAATTAAGGAAGAACGTGTGGGGCTCTGTGGATGTTTGTTTGCTGAGCGGAATTCCTGCTTGTCTTCTGCCCGTTTCTAAAGAGTCTGTGCATGTGTCCAAGCAAGCCACGAGGGACCAGACACACACCCGAGTGTGCTCTGGGGAGGCCCTGCTCCCTGTGGCTCGGGATGCTTGTCACTTGTCACTAAACAGCAGCACCAAAATGGAGATGGGAAAATCCATGAGGAATCTGTATCTTAACTTGTGACAGAATCACAGATTTTCTGGATACACTCCATCAGTGGTGTGGTGAAGGAGCCGGCAGAGACAAGTAACTCCCGTTACTTCATAGAAATGTGTTCTGAAAGTCGCACGGAGCACCGCTCCTTAGATACAATACCTGACAGAACTGTCGTCTACCTGGCGCTGGCTGCTTCTGTGAAACCCCAGTGTAGTTTGGTAAATTAGCCTTTTCGCCAGACCTCAGGGTGCCTTTCTTGGTAAGACTATGGCTTAGGGCTAACATGGTTGTTTGTCTACAAATATCCCCTTGTTATATTGGGTATTGCATGGTCCAGTAGTGCCTGTACCTGAAAGCTCAGGATGGGAGAAACCTAAGGAGGCTTTAGGCCAACGTATATGTGTAGAGGTGTGTGTACAGTGTTAGCACTGTAAATCTTCACTCACAGCCAGCTCCCATTCATAAAGCACAGCCTCCCCAGCTGTCCTGAAAGTCTCACTCAGATGCCCACCATCACTGGTGAACAGCCACTCTCCTGAGTTCATACATGGCCATCAGGTTGCTGTTTCCGAATTTGTATAGGTAGGATTTTTTTTTTTTTTTTTTTGAGACAGGGTTTCTCTGGGTAGCTTTGGAGTCTGTCCTGGAACTCGCTCTGTAGACCAGGCTGGTCTCGAACTCACAGAGATCCACCTGCCTCTGCCTCCCAAATGCCAGGACTGAAGGCGTGCGCCACCACTACCTGGCATGGGTAGGGTTTTTATCTCTGCTGTCTCTTACTTAATATGCTGTTTGTTAAGGTTAGGATGCCACTTTCTTACAGAGTTCTCTTTGTCTGTATGCACAAGACTTCTCTCTTGAATGACATGATTCCCTGTGTCTTTTTAGCCCTCTGATGAGGACACAGTTAGCCTCAATGTTCCCATGTCAAACATCATGGAGGAAGACCAGACCATCAAGGAGGACGCATGCCATCGTCCGACCCCAGCTAAAGGTCTGAGCGAGATGTGTGTAGAGAGCGCTTGCTTTGTGGGTTTGGACAGGGCTTACAGCACCACATACGGATGCGGAGATGGGTCAGCTTACTCTCTGTCTCTCACATACTGTGAGCCGGCTGTCATGCCCATGGGGAGGGATTTCATTTCAAGTCCTACACTCTACACAGCTCTTCCGTCTATTCGACAGGTAGGGAAACCAAGACTCGGACAGTTTAAATGGCTTGCCTGTGGTTTCACGAGCCAGCTCTGCTCTTTACAGTTAATGGAAGAGCCCTCATCCTGAAGATTACAGGAGAGTCTTTAAATTCGTTTTTGGAAAGAAAATATTGATAGGAAAGATAGGACTTAGGACAACTCTAGGTGCTGTTGTAAAATCTCCAGATCTCAGTGGCAGTCCAAATAGAAGTTAGCGGTTGGTGGATAACTGTCCTCCAAGTGTGACTGGCAGACCGATGCTCCATTCCTCACCTTTAGTGTGGACCCCCAGTGTCTCCACATCCATGTGTGTTCAGCTAGAGGGGCAGAACATGGTCGTTGTTGGGGATGGAAGGTTGTGGGCTGGGCCTAGAAGTGCCCATCCTCTATAAGACATCCTTCACTCCATGGTCACATCTAATCCACTTGGGGGGCGGAGCGGGAAATGCACTAGAGGTATGGGCTCGGGAATCTGTTTGAACGTAACCAGGTTCAGTTGGTCTTATCCGTCCCCTGTAAAGACAGAGTAGGTGGCAGCCAAGCTTCTTTGTAACTCAAGTTCTGTGACTTGTTGATAATCAAGTGATCACTGAACCCTGTAGCTAGAGTACCTGCTTAATCCTTGTAAGAGTCATACTGTCATAGATCATTGTGGCAGTATTTTGCTGGCTCTTGTTTGTTCAATGACTTCAGAAAAATACTGAAATTAACCTTTCATGATTTGTGATAGAGAGTGGAGAATGTTGTACGAGAAGTGTAGAACTGAATCAGTGACAGATCAAATCCCAGTATGATTACTTTCTTTGAAATTTTTTTTGGTTAGAGTTATTCATTTTATTTTATGTGTGGACATGTTTTGCCCACATGTATGTAAGCACACCGTGTACAGGCCTGATATCTGCAGAGGTCAGAAGAGGCCTTTGGGTCTCTTGGGGCTGGAGTTACAGATGGTTGTGAGCCACACCATGTGAGTGCTGAGTGCTGGGGATGGAACCTGAACCTGGATCCTTCATAAGAGCAACAAGCACTCTTAACTCCTGAGCCATGCCTCCAGTCCTTACAGTGTTCTTGACGATTAGAGGGCTATTTTAAAGCTACTCAAACATTTCCATGTTTTCTTTCACTTCTTAGGCCTAGGACATTTGTATTTCATTTTGTTTGTTTGAAACAAGGTCTTCCTACAATAGCCAAGGCTGGCCTGGAACACTCTTCCTGCCTCAGCTTCTCCAGTACTGGGATTGTAGATGAACGCCACCCCATCTGACTCTTAGATTTAGATGATTACTTATTTTTAAATAATTTTTAATGATTTATTTATTCTTATTTTATGTGCATTGGTGTTTTGCCAGCATATATGTCTGTGTGAGGGTGTCAGATCCCCTAGAATGGAGTTACAGACAGTTGTGAGCTGGTATGTGGGTGCTGGGAATTGAACCCGGGTCCTCTGGAAGAGCAGCCAGTGCTCTTAACCACTGAACCCTCTCTCCAGCACCATAGATTTAGAGTTTTAAATTTAGAACTCAAGGATGGCATTAAACGTAGAGACCATAATGGGAACCATACATGACCCCCAAATACAAGTGAACACTTGCATACAAATATAACTGTCACTGTATTCATTCATAGAAACCTTACAATGTGCAGTCATGGGGGTCATGTTTGAGACAAATTTTTCGAATACAATAATCTGTCACTAGTAATGTCTCCCGAGCCCCTGACATCTTTCAGGCTTCCCATTGAAAGGATGCCCTGCTTTCTCTTGTCTAGTCTTCTGTCAGTCCTCTGTGCTGTCCCTCTGTCTGTGCTCTCTCTGCTGGGACAAATGACTTCTACCCCAACATGCTCTTGCTTCTGGAGGGCCTTTCCTGAGGGTAATTCCTATTGTTGGCAGGATTCGGGGCTATGTCTAGTTGTGCCCCACGCTTTCTTAAGATGATTGGTTGCTTAAGGACAGAAGTCATTTAACCCCTCAAATGTACGTGCAGGTACATACCTAAGTGTCATGATGTTCTCTATGGAACAGCTGGTCAATACATTCTGTTGAACTTAGAATTTGAAATAATTAGCCACGTACTGCCGAGAGCATAAAACCTTTTTTAAAAAATAATTTTCTCGAGTTTTTTTAAAACATGAGAAGACATTTCATTTCTTTCTTGGGGAGCTAAACCCTGAAGCAGCCTTGTCTGCTAATACTCAGTTTGGGGTCTTGTTTATTTTGTATTTCTTCTTCTCCCACATTGAATTTTACATTCTACGGGGAAGGTAAAGTGGGATGGGGGGCGGGGGATGAAAGCAGTTGTCTGTGTGTTCAAGGACTTATGCTTTCTCTTCTGTCTTTGACGTCACGTTTTCTTCTTCTGTGTTTTCCTGACAGGAGAATTTCAGCCAAAGCCTTCCCTTTTGGGTGACAGCAACAGCCCAGGACAAGAAAGAGACCAGTTTGCTGATGGAGCAGATGCTCTCCACCCGGGATTTATGAACTATATTAAGGCAAGATTTTGCGGCTCAGTTCATTTTCCTCTGCATGGCAACCTTAGATTTCAGGTTCAGAGATTTCAGTCCAACTTCCCAGTCTCGCTTACTGTTTGCTCCCAAAGCCTTCAGCACATCTTCTCAAAGCTCACCTTGTCTGTGTCTGACATTGGGAGCTGGCCCCAACCATGCTTGTCTCTGGACTGTCTGCTTATATTTCTTTTCTTTTTCCTTTCCTTTCCTTTTTTTTCCCCTTCTTTTTCTGGTTCAGGAATTGCTCAGCTCCCTCTTCCTCACTGGGCCTCACAAGTTAGCAGGTTTCCCAGAATGACCATGCTCACTTGCAAAAGCTCAACACCATTTCATTTCCCTCAACATGTGTTAGGTGAATACTTCTTAGGTTGAGAGCCCAGGCTGAGCGTAACGTCCTTAGAACTAGAAATGTCCCAGCTCTTCAGATTTTTGAATGTTCACATTAAACATTACAAAATGAGGATCCATAATCCAAAAATCTGAAATCCAAAATGCTCCAGAAGTAGAAGCTCAAAAGGTATAAGTTTGATGGGCCAGCAAGACGGCTCTTGTATGGATGTTGGGAGAAGAATGGGAGGCAGTTCTCTCCCTCCACTAGGTGGATCCCAGGGCTTGAACTCAAATCATCAGGCTTGGCGGCAGGCACCTTGACCTACTGAGCCATCCTGCCAGCACCTCATCTGTGTTTTCTGATGATCAGTTTGGTGCTTTGACCTGGCCTGACTGATATTTTTGGGCATTAACTCCAAGGACCACCAGGAGGAAGACCAGCTGAACTTTCTTTATTCTGTTTAAGACACTAATGTGCTGTACCTTCATCATGCCCTTGAGATGGAAATAATTTGACAAGTCCATAACTGACCCCACTTCATTTGTGCAATGTGACAGTCTAAGACCAGTGGTTCTCAACCTTCCTAACACTGCGACCCTCTAATACAGTTCTTCATGTTGTGGTGACCCCCCAACCATAAAGTTATTTTTGTTGCTACTTCATAACTGGAATTTGGCTACTGTTATGAATCATAAGGTAAATATCTGTGTTTTCTGATGGTCTTAGGCAGCCCCTGTGAAAGAGTCATTAGACTCTAAGTGGGTTGAGACCCATAGGTGGAGAACCACTGGTCTAAAAACAGTTACATAAACACAAAAGAGTTTGTACAGTAGCCTAGCTCTTTACCTTCAGATCTTACCCTCCTCTTCTGTCTCCATCCACATTGCTTTAGCTAAGCTCGTCATGTCTCACTGTGATAGTTACAGGTGCCCACTCAGCTCCTCTGTGAGTGAGTGAGTGTGTGTGTGTGTGTGTATGTGTGTGTGTGTCCGTCCACCCACGTGCATGCCTGTAACATACATTCGCACCTTTTGTCTCCTGCCACCAGCTGTTTTTTTTAGAGCACAAATCTGATTCCATTGCTCTCAGGTCCCTCCCACAAGGTTCTTCCACATTTGACCCTTGTCGGTCTGCTCTGTGGGACAGCGAGAGTCATGAGAACATGGGAAAATGATTTTGTCTTCCCTTCCTCAAGAGTTTCCCTTCAGACTCTAAAGATAGAACACTTGAAAGATGTGTTTGGAAGAGTCAGACTCGAATTCATGTTCCAAAGGAAATCAAAGTAATTAGTAAAGCATACTGTCCCCTGGATTCAGAGAGTTCCAGGAGCCAAGGACCTTGGAAATGGCTGCTGTAGGGGGTGGATCCCGTGGACAGATACTCAAGGAGCAAGCATGTGTTAGGGTCGACTTCTATTTTGTAGCCTTATACCTGAGGACCAATGAGTGTGCTGTACTGCCCAGCACATTGACCATCAAAAGGTCTGTATTTTATATAATCCTTTCTTATTTCCTGAATTGGTATCTTGCGCTTTTGTTATTCTGGTTGGTTTTTATCACTCATAATAGTTATATTTTATGAAACCACCATGCATATTAAATTATCTAATACCAAGCCAGTCTGCTTGGAGAAAATACCAGCTTTAGATTTCTGAGAGCCTTTGGTTACATTTTTGTCAGTCAATACAAACCTTTGTTTTATGTACGTCTCTTTTTAGAGTCAGATATAAGGTTACAAAATTAATGGTGGAGATAGGTTTTGAGAAATGTGTCGCTATAGAATTCCATCACTTGGCACATGGCAGCCTCAGATGGCTACGGCATCATTAGCAACGTAACCTTGTGTATGACTGCCTGCTATTGGTTTATTAGTACTGAATTCACCAACACAGTCACGGTCATGCATACCTGAATAAAACTTCTCAAACTTGTCTTTTCTGAATGAGGTCCTTTGTAGTTGTCTTAGGAAGATTAGACGGCATCTCAGCATTATATTTGGGGCCCATTTTGAACTGTGAAATCATTGTTTAAAAAGGCACGAAAATATGAAAATGTGCAGTAAGTGGACCAACAGTAATGCCTGTTCAGTTTACAGTATGAGAATTAGAGCCAGAAGGCAGAGTGCTCCTCATCCTGCCTCACCTGGAGTCCTGCATGTCAATTGCTGTGTGTGTGTGTGTGTGTGTGTGTGTGTGTGTGTGTGTGTGTTACTCAGAAGTACCCTGAGCACTTTGGAGACTGCAGGTAAACTTTTGTTGAGTGGGCCAGTTCTTGAAGCTGCCTAATTTGAAAAAAAAACAAAAAAAACAAAAAAAAAAAACAACTCAGCATGCTAATGTCAGTCTGTTCTGTGTTCTGAAGAAAAGCTACATGTTTTGGTAACTTTTCATTTTGAAGCTGAAAATGAGAAGGAAACCAGTTCCACTAGTTGAAACCTAGAAGAACTGGGGCACGTTGCTTTGGATGTGACATCTGGGAGTCTGTTTTCATGGATTTCACTGTCATTTGCAGGGTGACACATGTGTTGATTGTTAAACTGTGAAAGTACAATCAATACAGTAAAAGTCTGAGTGGTTTTTGAAACATCCTTCTCCGGGGAGGTCTGGTCCTAAAGACACACCAGAGCCAATGATGATGTGCCCTATTTCCCACAGTCTGATGTTCTTTCCCTAATAGGGAAATGTACCCACTCCAGGGTGGCTCCCTCCCTGCCAGTGTTGGCCCAGCCAGGACGTTTTCCTTGTCTGAGGAGAAAATCCGAGGAAACACATGGAGGGCCCATAGTGGACACAGCTTTCCCAGAATTCACTCCTGCTGCAGCGTCTCTGGAGAACTTTGGTGTGGGAGGCTCAGGGAAAACATTTGAGTGACCTTTGAATTTGTTCACATGAAACTATTGGATTCAGTGTAGGGCCTTTTTCTATTGTTAAATACTAGTAAGTTGAATTAAATAAGGAACTCAGGTAAACTTTATGGTTTTTTTTTTTTTTAATCTTTAGTTTTCTAAGTTTTTTTTTTTTGGGGTGGGTTTTTTTTTTTTTTTTTGGTTTTTCAAAACAGGGTTTCTCTGTGTAGCTTTGCGCCTTTCCTAGAGCTCACTTGGTAGCCCAGGCTGGCCTCGAACTCACAGAGATCCGCCTGCCTCTGCCTCCCGAGTGCTGGGATTAAAGGCGTGTGCCACCAACGCCCGGCGGTTTTTTTTTTTGTTTTGTTTTGTTTTTTTGAGACCAGGTTTCTCTGTGTAACAGCTCTGGCTGTCCTGGAACCCACTTTGTAGACCAGTCTGGCTTCGAACTCACAGAGATCTGCCTGCCTTTGCCTCTCTGAGTGCTGGGATTAAAGGTGTGTGCTGCCATCTCTTGGCTAATTTTTTAAGTTTTAATTGTGGTAAAATACATACAAAAATAAAATCTTTTATCTGTAAAATTTTTTGAGACAAGGTTTTGGTAGGGTAGCTCAGGCTGACCTTGAACTCACGATCCTTCTTCCTTACTTGACCTTCCAAATGCTGAGGTGCAAGTGTACACTACCTATACACCACCCCAAAAGATTCTCCTAGCCACATTTCGGTTGCACAGTGCAGTTTGTGTTAAGTACATTTTTTTTAAGAAATCTATTTATTTATTTATTCATTATATATATAGTATTCTGTCTGCATGTGTACCTACAGGCCAGAAGAGAGTGCCAGTTCTCATTATAGATGGTTGTGAGCCATCTTGTGGTTGCCGGGAATTGAACTCAGGACCTCTGGAAGAACAGTCAGTGCTCTTAACTGCTGAGCCATCTCTCTAGCCCCATACATACATATTGTTACACTGTTCTGTGACCTCCAAAACCCTTTGTAACTGAGACTCTGTACCTATTAAATCTGTCCCATTCTGCCTCCTCTCCCTGGCAATCACTGCTTTACTTTCCATCTCAATGAATTTGGCTACTATAAATACCTCATGTGGGTGCAGTCATGCAGAGTGTTTATGTGTGTGTGTGATTTCCAACTCAAGGTTTTCTGTACGTAGTGTAAAGAATATTCCATTATAGATCCATAGCGTATCAACCAATACCTGATTTGTTTTGCCTTTTGGCTCTTGTGAATTACACTGTCATGGATATGGGCTGGGGCCAGTTTTAACTCTTCATTGAATATCCCATGTGTTCTCTCCGTAGAACCAGACAGAAGACTGTGAAGAGCTTTTGCGGATAGAAGAGGATGCTCACTGGCCAATGGAGGGACTGTGAGTGCCAGGGCGGGTCATGGGCCATCACTCCTCTTCAGGCACACTGGCACTCATGTCCTGATAGATTTTGATCCACTTTTCTTTGGGCAAGCCTGGAATCTTCCCCAGTCATACTGATAGGAAGTTGCCAGTTTTCCTATGAGTCTTGTTACAGTACTGGACCATACAGTACATCTTCATTTGTGCTGTTACAAGGGAATACCACATAGACTAGGTGACATGGAAGCTGACTTGGTTTGTAGTTACAAAGGTTTAGAAGTCCAAGGTCAAGGGGCTGTGTCTAGTGAGAAGCTGTCCCATGGGAAGAGAGAGTGTGAGACAGAGTTGAGCTCCTGTGGATAAAGAGCCATCTCCTGTAATAATGGTACCCATTGCTCCCCCTAGGGGCCCTGGATTCCCTCATGAAGGTCCCATGCCTAACACTGCTGCTTTGGCATTGAGTTTTCTACACATAAAGTTTGGAAGTTACATCCGAACCACCACACAGCAGACAGTTTTACTTCTTTATTGGCCTTGAATTTTACCTGACTCAATGTTGTCAATCAAAAAATATAATAGTAGCCAAAGTGTCTTCTCCTTTCCTTCTGTTTTATTTGAAGAAGCCAATAGCCAGACCTAATGTCAGGAGAGCCAGTCCCTTCAACCAAGGTCTTCTGGTTCAAAAAAATTTTTTAAATGATCTATTTATTTGTATTGGTGTTTGCCTACATGTGTGTCTGTGTAAGGGTGTCAGGTCCCCTGGAACTGGAATTACAGACAGTTGTGAGCTACCATATGGGTGCTGGGAATTGAACCCAGGTCCTTTGGAAGAGCAGCCAGTGCTCTTATCGGTTGAGTCATCTCTCTAGCCCTTGGTTCAAATTTTTGAAAAGCAATTCTTTAATATCCTGGTTGCTGGTCTAATAACTGTCATAACTGGCATATTTAGATTCTTCGTGCCTGGCACTGTTCTATTTCATAGGCCAAACAAAGCTCATCCTTTTAGTAGTCCTATAAGCTCTGTTGTCTGCCATATTGCAGATGATGAAATTGCAGCACAAACCGGTGATGCTTTCATCTCCAAGGCTACAGAAGGCTAACATTTGACCCTGAGGAATCTTGTACCAAATGAACATCTCTTTTCCTTCTACTGTATATAAAGATTATCCAGGGGAGCAGATAAGTGTCTTGCCAGAAAATGAGCCTCTTCCAGGAAGTAGACTTGGTACCTATAGCATAGGGTAGATGTTTAGTTGGTAGGTCTTTTGCTTTCTGTGGTCCAGAGTATATATAGGTCTCGACCTCCCACTATACTTTGTAGGGATTTTTTTTTTCCTTAAAAAGGACTGGTGCAATTGTTAAAATGCACCTACTAAAATGTTCTCTGCTAGTAGGAATTCATCAGCCCACTGTATGTGGCAAGAATAGTCAACTGTGATCCAGTTTCTCTTGCCGGAAATTCCCTCCTTTTCACTCTGTCCCACCAGCTCCTTGATGATACACACTTCTGAGAGGCCAAGGAGGCCTGACTTACTGTAGCAGCATGCTACCACGAGGAAAGAGAACTGAAACCAGATAAATCTTTGAAAATTCCATTTTCAGTGTCACATCTTTTCGCAACCCTGGCTCTAAAGTCAGGATCACCTGTTGAGTTTTCTAGGAGGCCTGTCTTTACAGGAGGTCGGATTAGCTTAGGTGTGTTAGGGCTAGTGTGTCTCTTAAGCTTTATAGTTGATTTTCCGGCATTAAAGAATCAGGATGGAGATCCACTCTTCCACACTGAGCCCCTCACACCATAAAGGTCATGACACTTAGCCATGCTGGTGGAACTAGAGTTGGAAGCCTCAGAATGGACATAGCTTCGCTCAGGGGAGTGCTTCCAGGAAATCTTACAGAACTCCGGAAAGTGTGGAGACTCACCAACCTTGTCCTCAGCCTGACTGGCCATAAGAGCAAGTGGAGGCCTGGGAGTTTGGAGTTGGACTGGGCTTTCTCTGCCCAGGGACTCCTCCCATCACCATAGGACCCAACCTGCAGGATACTGACATGTCTTCATTACAGTATTGAGTGTGTCAAAATTATTTTTCAGCGGTTGATGGGGTTTTGCAAGGAGGTGCTTGAGATGTTTTAGTAGTCCTTCTGCACTCATGCTTGGTTTTGTGTTGCAGACTAGGTTCATCCAAAGATCAGGATTTGGATATAGCGATGATTGAGCAGCTGAGGGAAGCAGAGGATTTGCTTCAGGATCCCAACGGGTATGCCCTTCTGTCCCCAGCCCGGTCTTGTGTGTAAATGAAGCCTGCTAAGTTACTGAGGACATGGCTTCCCTTTCTGAACTATTTATACCCAATTTGGTCTAGATGTAAGCAGGAACAAAGTGTAGTCATTTAATTGCCTATTCCCCAAGATCCAAAAGTAAAAGAGTTACATTTTTATAGTGATTGAGATAAGTTCCGGCCTTCTCAGTCTTTAATGATTGTCCTTACCTCTCAACACATTCCTATGGGATGCTTGGTATCATGTACAGAAAATGGAAATATGACAGAAGTACAAAAACATAGGCAAATTCTGCTAAAAATGGAAATTTAAAACTTCTATGTATTTCTGTAGTGCCAGATATGACAACCAGCCAATATATTTCTAAAGATTGGGGTTGATTTGGGTTGTAGATTCCTTTTTAAATTTGATTTGGGCTCTGTCAGGAACATTCTCTCTCTCTCTCTCCCCTCTCTCTCTCTCTCCCCTCTCTCTCTCTCTTCCTTAGATAATGTAATTTCCACAGACAAAGCTCCTTTCAGTCCAGCAGTATCCAAAGTGAGACACTAACTACATGACCACTGCAGCAGTATCCAAAGCGAGGCACTAACTACATGACCACTGCAGCAGTGGACCTGAACCCATCTCTGATCACGAGTCCTGGGAATGTGAGGATGATGGGGTCATATTGTGCACATGGCTACTACACACACATCACTTTTAGCTGGAATTTATAAATAAGGAGGTGTGTGAATCCAGGCAGAAACTTGCACACCGTCATGTGTCCCTGAAAGAATAGTGGCCTGTCCATTTGTGTATGACTGGAAATCTTTAGCAATTGATCGAAAACCATCTAAAGTTAAATTACACTTACTATGGATGTGTAAGGGAGGGAATGAGAGTGGGTGCCAGTGAGCAAGCTGGCACACTCCACAGCATGTGTCTAGAGATTGTAGGACAACTTGAACAATCTGCCCTCTCCTACCACCACGAGGGCCTCGGGATTGAACTTGGGTCAGACTTGTCATGAGCACCTTTCCCCAATGAGCCATCTTGCTGGCCTTTGAAAAGCATTTTCACTCCAGAGACATTAATTGATTTGAGATGTGAGCCTGTGTGCATGCGTGCATGTGTGCATGTCCAAAGAATTAGGATGTAGCATGGCTGGTACCGTCGGCACACTTTGAGTCAGTCACCTGGAAACTGGTTTTGACATCTGAATCCCATGTTTTCATCTGTGAGATGGATCTACAAAGTAGAGTACCCACTTGCCTCTTAGGCTTGTAAGGATTTGCAATGGTACATAAACAGTTGTAATGAAACTAATTTGGTAAAACATCCCCAAAGTCACCTTGGTAGTATGTAAGCAACGTTTAGAAATATGTGGACCTTAGCCGGGCGGTGGTGGCGCACGCCTTTAATCCCAGCACTCGGGAGGCAGAGGCAGGCGGATCTTTGTGAGTTCGAGGCCAGCCTGGGCTACCAAGTGAGTTCCAGGAAAGGCGCAAAGCTACACAGAGAAACCCTGTCTCGAAAAAACAAAAAACAAAACAAAACAGAAATATGTGGACCTTTCAGATGGCTTGTGAGAATTTACCTTAAGGGACCAAGGGAGAGGAACTATTGTTTTGTTTGATGAGGGATGGATATTTTTAACAGCAATATTTAGAAAAAAGGAAACGAACCATTTGGGGGGACTTTAAATATATCTTATGGCCATTGATAAAATAGAATGTCATATGGTCCATGACATTTTTGTTAAGGTTACTATTGATGCTGAAATGATCCTTATTTAATACTAACTTCTAGAAAGTTTAATCTAAAAATGCATAGTTTGAGTTCAGTTATAAATACAGAGTTAGGTTCCAGTTGCAAAAGAGACTTGAACAAATCTAGAAGGAAACATACTAAAATGGGTATTTTGCTGTGGCTCTTTCAAAGCTGCCCTGTGTTTTATACTCAGTAGATTCTCAGTGGTCAGTTCTGAGTTTGGTGGCCTACACGTGGACAGTGAGACGAGGAGGGCAGAGGATCAGTCCGGGGTTGGGAAAGACTGGAACTCTTGCTGTCGTATCATCTGGTGAAGAGAATGCAGTGGGAGGGCGTGGCCAGCTAAGGAGTGAGGTGCTGGCTTCAGTTGAGCATGTGCCGAGCAGTTCTGAAGATGGAACTCCACATGGCACTGTAGGGCTGGGAACTGGGGTTCAGGAGGTGCTGTGTAAGGGGGTGAGGGGCAGAGGGCAGGAACAAGGAAGGGAGGAAATGGAAACCAGAGTGCAGAGTGGAAGAGCTGACGTCATAGAGAGAGGTCTCCAGTTCTCTATGTTTAATGTCTTTTAAATCTTGTTTCATTCTATTGGTAAACTTTTTGTTTTGTTTTTTTACAAAGTCTGACTGGTTAGTGGGTGATTCCCGAGGCAACAGAAAAAGAAAAAGCAGGTCCCAGTCTTGTGGCGATAGCTGTGTCCTGCTGTGTGGGTCAGGACCCAGTCACAAGACAGAGCAACTAGGTGGAAAGGCGCTGCCTTTGGGCCTCAGTTTCCTCCTCTGTTGGAAAATAGGTTGAGTTAGGAGTCTCTCGACTACTGGTTCTCAACCTGTGGGTCATGACCCTTTCGGGGGGGGGGGTCTAACGACCCTACACAGGGTCGCCTAAGACCATCTGCATACCAGATATTTACATTACAATTCCTAGCAGTAGCAAAATTACTGTTATGAGGTAGTAATGAAAATAATGTTCTGATTGGGGGTCACCACACCGTGAGGAACTGTATTAGAGGGTCACAGCATCAGGAAGGTTGAAAACCCCTGAGTTAGACAGACTCCTGGCACCTCTGGAGTACATGAGACAGGACGAGCGTCTGGGCATGCTGCGTGTGCAGAATGGCAGATGCAGTACCATAGGAGAATACCCTGACAGATTTCCAGAGATACCCAACTGGTGTCTTTGTCAAGGGCCATGTTGAAGCCATGTTATGTCGGACACTTTCTTTTCCACTGTGTTGGTTACTTCGTATATTTGTTCTTTATTTTTAAAATAATTGAAATAAATTTGACAAGCTTGATTTTTATTGTACTCTTCTTGTGAGCCAATCAATCAGTGGGTTTGTAATTTTTAAGTGTAGCAGTCTAAATCAGAGAGACTTTGCAGTCAAAACTAGATGTCATCAATACTGCCATGTTAATACTTCAGCAACTTGATTTTACATCTGTAAATGTGGGAAGTTCTAGATAAATTCAGTTATGTATGACTCTTGAAAATCATGACTTTATGAGAAATTACTGTGTTATTTTGTACATAAGTTATACATAAGGAGTGCAAATAGCTGATAGGAAACTATGTTGAGACAGCAACATGTGTTTGGAAAACTTTTCTCTTAATCCTGAAGACAAGCTTTGCTTGTCAGTTAAGTGTTTAAAGTGCACGGGGCCAGTAGAGTTTACTGGAAGTTTAATGATTTCTCTCCTCTTTAGCCTGAGCACCGACATTACAGAGAGAAGTATTTTGAACCTGTACCCAATGGGCTCAGCAGAAGCCTTAGAATTACCTGACCCTACACTCAAGTACGTTCACCTTTCATAATTAAGTATATTTTCTGTTTTTACAATGATGCATATGTATTTCAAAATCCACTTTGTCTCTTTTTCCTTCCCACCTTCCTACAGTGGTCAGCTGCAGCTGGAGACGTCTCCAGAGTGTGAGGTAAGAACAGAGCTTGGCATTGCCTTGTGGAAGGACAGTAGCGGCATTTGTTCATGACACATTTTGACCCGTTTCCTGCTCTTACTCTCTAGTTCTGTTGATCCGTTGTCCCTCACCTTCCCTGAAAGATGAGAGTTGGCTGATTCTGTTAGATTCTCTACGTTTATTTGCCAAGATAGACCCACTGGGTCAGGCAGTGGTCACTAAGATGCATAGGAAGCCTCTGCTGGGTTAGAAATGAGAGGGAGGCCCATGTGGTGCAGACATTAGAGCCGAGAAAAAAGTCCAGCCAAACGAAGGACCTCAAGGACGTGATCAAATGAATTGAGGATGTCTGGGAAGGTGAAAAGAGTACTACATAGGGAGTTGGGACATAGATGGCCAAGCAAACATAAAGACTTGCGTTCAGACCCTCAGCACCTCTGTGAAAAATCAGCCATGGCAGCCTATGCCTGTAATCTCACTGCTATAAGATGGAGACAGGAGTGTCTCTGGGGATCACTGGTTAGCCAGCCTAGCTGGATTGGTAAAGCCACAGGTTCAACTAGAGCAGTGGTTCTCAACCTTCCCAATACTGTGACCCCTTAATACAGTTCCCCATGTTGTAGTGACCCCCAACCATAAAATTATTTTTGTTGCTACTTCATAGCTATTATTTTTCTACTGTTATAAATTATAATGTGTAGAGACCCACAGAGGTTTCCTAGGGTCTGAGAATCTGAGCTTGCTTTACCCAGCAGGGCTGCATAAGGGGATGGTTTGACCAAGGCTTGGTTACCAGGTGTTTGGAAGGGTCTGCACTTGGCTGTGCTATATGCTTTGATCTAGCAAGCGGGGGGGGGGGGGTCTTTTGCCCTGCCCCTGGACATTGTTATAAAAAGCTCTTTTGAAGAGACAGAAGGGGCTGGTGGTTTTGATCCAGGTCCTCCTGTGTTTCTCTCTGTCTCCTCTCCACTATTTTTCTATCTAAAAGTTTCTTATTCCTCTCTCCTCCTCATAGGAACCCTTTAAAAGGTGGGAGCTGGCCTCCCACAATAATGTAAATATCTGATGTGCAGGCTATCTGATATGTGACCCCTGTGAAAGGGTCATTTGACTCCCAAAGGGGTGGCAACCCACAGGTTGAGACACAGAGCTAGAATTCCTACTCAGAAAATAAGGTGGTGAACGAGAAAGACTCCAGATGTTGACGCCTGGCTTCCACATTTATGTGCACATAGGTGCATACACAGATACCAAAGAATACTAAAATGAGAAAGTGGTGGGAATATTTGGGGACAGGATTAGATAGAGTTACATGGAAAGAAATTTGGGTGGCCATGGAGAAAACATTTTTGACATAAAACTAGCAATGATCCTAGAGAAAGCTTATCCCAGTTGTGGAAAGATAGGTTTAAGCTAGTAGTTTGGGAGCACAGACTGTTTTTCTATTGCTGTGAGAAAACACCGTGATCAGGGCATATAAAAGAAAATGTTTAATTTGGGGCCCCAGAGGTGTAGAGTCTATGACCATCATGGCAGGGACCATGATAGCAGGCAGGCAGGTGTGGTGTTAGAGCAGTAGCTGAGAGCCAGAGACAGACAGACAGAGAAGAGGGAGTGAAGGGAGAGAGAGACAGACAGACAGACAGACACCACTAGCTGGCAATGGCATGGACTTTTGAAACCCCAAAGCCTGCTTCTACTGACATGCCTCCTCCAACCAGGCCATACCTCCTAATCCTTGCCAAACAGTTTCATCAACTGGGACTAAGCATTCAAGTCTGTGAGCCCATGGGAGCCATTTTCATTGAAACCACTGTATTTTACTCCTTGGGCCCCATTGGCTTGTGGCCGTAGCATAATGCAAAATGCATTTAATGCAGCTTCAGAAGTCACCCCGGTCTTTTACAGTTTGAACAGTTTCAAAGTCTCTTCTGAGACCCAAGGCAGTCTTTCAATTGTAACCCCTTTAAAATGAAAACAGGAAATTGCATAATCTCAATACACAATGGCACAGAATATACATTACCATTCCGAAAGGGAGGAAGGGGTCAGTGTGAAGAAAGTGGATCAAAGAGAAAGAACAAGTAACAAACTCAGCAGGGCCAACTGTAGGTCCTGTAATTCCATGTCTGATGTCAAAGCACTTAGAAGACTCTGCCCTTCAGCTTCGTTGACGGCAGCACACTTGCTCTCTTGGGTTGGTTCCCTTCCCTTCCCTGTGTGCAGATCTTTCTGGCGTACATCCCATGGTTCTGGCACCTCCAACATCCTGGGGTCTCCAACGCAATCTAGGCTTCACTTTCATGGCTTCATGCAGTGGTCTTTTAGGGCTTCCATGCAGGGACACCCCTGCCCTACACTTGACCTCAGAAATTCTTTTTAATCATAGAACCTCAACCTTCCTAATGCTGCGAACCTTTAGCAATAGTTTCTCATGTTGTGGTGACCCCTCGACCATAAAATTATTTCATTTTTACTTCATAAGTGTAATTTTGCTGAATTGTAATATAGCTATCTGATATACAGGATATCTAATACGTGACCCCTAATGGGGTCACAACCCACAGGTTGAGAACCACTGCCATAGAGGAGGATTCCACAACCCCTTTACTCCTGGATTTCATGACTCTAAACCAGACCACATGGCTGATGCTGCCCAATTCAGCTGCCCTCTTTGGATGGAGCCTGACTCCCTCCTTGAATTACAATTACATAAGCTTTGATTTGTTGCTTTTTTTAGGACCAGAAAAATTTCTGGGCCCTTTTCCAGACGTTGCAGACTAGCTGGGTGGGGTCTTGCCCTGAGGGCATTACTCCCTTTGCTCCATTTGGCATCAAGCATCTCTTTATCTCCTTCAGCACAAACCTGGGCTCCAACATTTAATTTCCTGGTGTTCTTTTTCTTCTCAGACTGTACATTTTGAATTTCTTTTTGTCCTGCTTGGTACTTTTCACTGTAGCTGCATATGAGTTATTATTAATAATACACAATTGAATAAATATAAGCTGTCTTCAGATATCCTCTGCCAAAGAAATTAGTCCCAAACTTTTTAATTTAGTTTCAGGCAGATTCTTAGGATAGGGGCAAAAAGCAGCCACATTATTTGCCAAAATATCCCAAGAATGGTCTCTGGCCCAGTTGCCAATCCTGTTCTTCCTGGGACCACCTGTGCTTGGTCTCCATAGTGCCATCGCTCTAAGCACTACTGGCTTCCAAGCTCCTACCACAATAGCCCTGTTAAACCATCCTCAACAGCATCCAACTGCTTTCCTAGGGCAGAGGCCCAAAGTCTTCCACATTCCTCTGAAAAACATCATGGTCTGGCCTGTCACAGCATTAGCTTACTCCATGGTACGAACTTCTGGCTATTCTATTGCTTGTTACAAAACACTGTAACCAAGGCAACTTACAAAAGAAAATGTTTCATTCAGGGCTCATGGTTCCAGAGGGTTGAAGTCAATGACCATCCTGGTGGGGAATATGGCCGCAGGTAGGCATGCATGGTACTGGAGCAGTAGCTGAGAGCTCACAACTTAGGTTCACAAGAAGGAGACAGAAGGAGCTAACTGGTGGGAATGGTGTGGACTTCTGAAACCGCAAAGCCTGCTTCCAGAGACATACCTCCCCCCATGAGGCCACACCTCCTAATCCTCGCTAAACAGTTCCATCACCTGGGATCAAGAATTTGAATATATGAGCCTATGGTGGCCATTCTCACTCAAACTACCACAGAGCCTATTACACTCTGTTCCACTCTTCCTAGTGAGTGGGTTTAAGATGGCCACTTGAAGTACTGAGATGCCCTACAAACCAGTATATGTCCTGGAGCTGCCTGCACATGTCCTATGAAATAATAAAGCAATTTCACACTCAACATGTCTGTGCAAAAGAAACAAGGAAAAAAGAAATGTAGAGGCAAGAGCCGGGTTTGCAGAGAGTGTGGTTACGTTGTTAGAGTAGGGACTAGTGTTTACCTTACCTAGCTGCCCTGTCTCTGAATTGCTAACTCTGTGCAACTTAATTAACCTCTCTAAACTTTACTTTTATATTTGGTAAATTTCAGTCTGATAATAGCTATTGTACAGCTCAAATGAGATGATTCAGGAGAAATCTCACAGTAGCGGGCATGTAAATGCTGTTATTCTCCTGCTCAGTTACTGTTATCGGTGTGGTCTTCAGACAGAATCATGGTGCCACCTTTGCAAATGAACCAGGATTGAACATCAGGGGACTTTTATTTGCAGGTGGCCCTGTGCTGGTTTCTTATGCTCTCTGTTTGAGAATGAGTAGACTCACTTTTTTAAAGGTTTTTTTTTTTTTTTATGTGTATGAGTGTTTTGCTCATATGTATGCACCACATACATGCCTGGTGCTCATAGAGAGCAGAAGAGGGTGTCACATCTCCTGGAACTGGAGTTATCGATGGTTGTAAGTTGCCATATGTGTCCTGGGAGTCGAACCCAGGGCCTTTGAAAGAAGAAGTGCTCTTAACCTCTAAACTGTCTCTCTAGCCCCTCCCTGTAGACTCACATTTTTCCCCCTTGGTTTTTCAAGACAGGGTTTCTCTGTGTAGTTTTGGTGCCTGTCTTGGATCTCTCTCTATAGACCAGGCTGGACTTGAACTCACAGAGATCCGCGTGACTCTGCCTCCCAAGTGCTGGGATTAAAGGCATACAGCCACTGCCACCCGGCTTAGGTTCACTTTTTAAAAACGTTTCATATTTAGAAATATTTTAACTTAAAAAAGATTATAAAAATAAATTACAGGTTCTATAAAAGTTATAAAAATATAATTTTCCACTTATGGGATAAATATTGTTAGTATGCAAATCCAAGATGTTACAGAGCTTGAAACTCTTTTTAGCACTACCAGGACACTACAGATATAAAATTCTGCTCTTGATCTCATAAGAAAGTTCAAAGTTACAACACGGGTGTGCTTGAAGTACAGAATAAAATCTCCTCAGACCATGTGTATAAGGCATACATGAAATGAAAACCAACTGTTTAGATTAGAGCCCTGTTTCCAAGCTCCTCTTATGGATTTGCAAACAATTGAAACCCAAGACTTTTGAAGTGCAAACACTTCCAATCAATCTCTTGCCTTTTGGACAGAGAGATTCAACCTGATGTTTTCCCATATCTGTTTATTATTTGGAATCTCTCCTTTTTTCTCTACATCTATAGTTCTTTGGAATAGCTAAGAGCATGGACATCACTCTCCCTAGCATTTCAGTGTTACATGGTGTACAAACAGGGATTCTTCTGCAGACGAATTTCCGTCTTCCATGTCAGAAGTATATGCTGATTAGCCTTTTTTCTGTCCTCAGCCCTCCAGATCCCAGATAGAACAGTTGATTTAAAATAGTTCTCTGAGCATTCCTGACCCTTTGATGTGTACTTCAGTCAGTGTCAGGCTTTGTGTTTGGTTGCCGAATCTCTCTGGTCTCTTTATAGTCCTCTTTGCTTTGCCATGTTTCTGAGAATGATAATTCTACGACATTGAAATTGTAGAGAATACAGACCTTTTCTCTTTTGGTGTTTTGAAAGAAGATCTCATGTAGCCCGGGGTGTTCTAGAACTCTTGATAGTTCAGAAGATAACCTTGAGCTTGTAATCATCCTACTCCTACCTCCCAAACCCTGGAATTATAGACATGTGTCACCATAGCTCCTGCTAGGCCTTTTCTTTTGTAGATAGGGTCTGATGTATCCCAAGCCGGCCTCAAACTCACTGTGTAGGCAGATGGTGATCTTGAACTTCAGTCCGTTCTGCCTCCACCTCTGGAGTGTTGGGATTACAGGTGTGCACCGCCACGTCCAGTTTATGTAGTGCTGGGGATTGAACCCAGGGCCTTGTGCATGCTAGGCCAGTCCTCTACCAACTGAGCCACATTCCCAGAACATTCCCTTTCTAGTGGAATGTTCTTCCTTTGGTGTTTGTCTGACATTTCCTCATGATTGCGCTGCTACCTTCTCATTTTGGGTATCGCCTAGGTGCTGTCCTGTGCTCTTCCCAGGCCATCGGGTTGGGGGGCTTGCCCCGTCCTTCTCGTTCCCATTGCTTGTTGTAATTCAGACAGTCAGTTGTTATCTAACCCCATTTCATCACTGTATTAGGATTATTTCGTTTCCCCCCTGTGACCGATGAGAAGTCTGTGAAGAGATACTTCCGCTCCCTGTGACTCCTGCTGCGTGACTTCAGGGTGAAGAGGGCACAAGTCTTCTAGACAAAGAAATAGCTTCACTGCATCTCCAGGGCACAATTCCAACACTATGTCCCTATTCAAAAATACTTCTTCCTGATGCAGGGGGGAAAAGGAGGCTTTGCTGGGTGCCAGGCCATGTGCTTCCTATTTCATATGCCTTATCAACACAGGTTCTTCTTGCCTTACAATGGGCGTCTGTTCCCAATAAACTATTGCTAAGTTAAAAGCAACATTAACTTGAAAATGCATTTAAGCTATCTACTCTGGTAAGAACTGTTGCCTAGCCTACTGCTAATGGGGTCGGAGAACTTACATTAGCTTGCAGTGAGGCAAAATCCTTTAATGTAATGCCCACTTTATAATAAAACCTGAAGGAATTTATTGAGCACTCTACTGAGAGCATTCAGCCGATTGCGTGGTAGCATGCACCTGTAACATCAGCACTCAGGAGGCAGAGTCAGGAGGGTCAGGAGTTCATTAGTAGCCTTGCTTGAGGCAGGCCCAGGCTGTGTGAAACCCTCTCTCTGAAACAAACAAGCAAGCAAGCAAACAAACAAACACACACCAAAATGGTGGTGGTGGGATTGGTGCATTTTTACACGAGAGTAAAGCAGAAATTTTCTAAGTCAAACGTTCATGGAGTCAGGACTTCCTCCTTCCATCTCTTCCATCAGTATTCTCTGGGTCCTACTGTGTGTCACCATGGGAACTTGGAAGGCCACAAAGGGACTACTCTTAGCAGTGTATATTCCAGATGACTATTAGGAAATGCAAGAGTTGGCATTACCCATTCATGGATGCAGGACCCTGAAACTCCAGGTTGAGCGACTGGCTGGGTCGGTTACCATGGTAATGGGTAGGCCCAGCTGTTTCAGCACACTGGATTGCCTCTTTGTATTCAGTCTTCTTACACTCCAAACTTCGGCAAGGCCTGATCAAACCTTTCCTTAAAAGCTTGTCTTGGTGGAAGGCGAGAAGCCCAGCACTCTAAGGAGTTCATGAGCGTTGCTTCCAGGAAATGGTGAAAGAGTTTGGAAAGGATAGACGAGGATGGATGTGTACTAAATATCGACTGAGCCCGGTGCCTGACTTTGTCATTTGGTGTCCCTGCACAGAGCCAGGTGCTGAAGTCTGTTATCATCCAAGCAGTAGCCGCACGTTCTCCTCCAGGGTGAACTAACTCTAGCCAGTGTAGCGGGAGTCTTAACAGTTCTTATTAATAAAATCAAACCTGAGGCCAGGTATTGGGGTGAACACTGGATGATCAGAGAGACAGAACAGGCCACAGCTAACCTCACCTGGCCAACTTCTTAGCTGGTCCCGTTTCTTCTGACTGGAAGCTTCTGTGTCCTCATATCCGAATGGCTCTCAGCTGAACTGTGCTGCTCAAAACCTAAAAGCTTAACCAGCCAAATGCTTAACCAGCCAAATATGCTTCTAGTTTCTGGTCCTCATGCCTTGTATATCTTTGTTTTCTACCACCATTCCCTGCGATTAAAGGCCTGAGTCACCATGCTTGGCTGTATCCTTGAACACATGGATTTCTGCCTCTGGAATGCGAGGATTATAGGCGTGTGCTACCACTGCCTATCCTAAGTATCTAGTGGCTTTTCTGTTCTCTGACCCCAGATAAGTTTATTAGGGTACACAATATTTTGGGGAACACAATACCACAAGCCAGGCTAAGGCAGGCCCAGACTACTGTCATACCTTGACACAGAAGTGTAGCCTGTCTGGCTGTGGATGGTGGTGCCTACCTATAATTTTGACACTGAGGCCGGAGGCTTCCAAGTTCAAGGTGAGCCTGGACTACACAGTGAGACCCTGTCTCGAAGCCAAACTTAGTTGTCTCTAAGATTGCCAGAGCTTCCAGGGGTCAGGGATTCCTGAACCCGTCTCTGTTCGGCATACAGTGCTCTTGGCTAATTTAGCATGCTGTATGTTTTCCTTTGCATCAGTGAGTAGCCGTGTCTAGCATAAGGCATCCTTGTCTTCCTTCTCAAAACAGCTTTGGGTGTATGACAGGCAGGTCTCTGTGACTTCCAGAAGGAAAGGGTGAACAGCTGGTGTGATGCGAAAAGCAAGTCATGAGATGAAGAAAACGGAAGTTAAATGTGGCTTCTAGAGGCCACTCTCCTGATTCTGAGGTCTCACTTGTTACTCGGTTACATGTCTACACCCCCTTTCACCAGGCCATCAGTTTGCCAACATTTGTTGCCCACACATGCTGCATGTGGCTTCTTTGGCTATGGAGGTCTAGAGTGTGAGGCCTGTGAGGTAGCAGAATTGTTGAGTGAATGAAAGAGGATGTTGATGTTGAAAATATTCCAAGAATACGGTGTGGCTTGCCATCCCGAGTCTGTTTCCTGTGTTCTTTGGGAAAGGAAGGAAAAGGATTTGTGGCCACTTTGGATATGGGCCCGGAGTGAGGGTGGCCTGGGAGGATTGAGTGCAGTGGGTAACGATGCTGAGAGGTGAGGCAAGGCTTGTAGAGGGGTCTGCCTCCACTCAGATGATCTTCCCTAAACGTCCTTTAGAAGACTGGCCACATGCAATTGGGTAGCGTGGGCGTCCATGCAGTGAGAAAACACCTTGCCTGCTTGTGTAGAAATAGGATTGAAGAGAGGAAGGTTTTGGGGGGACAGCAGGGAAACCTGGAAGAAGTCACTTAAAGAGTAAGCATGATACCACTTGTTGGCAGTTCTAACAGAGACCCTTAATTGGATAGGGACGTGAATGGCATCTTATTCTAAATGTGTTTTTCTCTTGGGTTCACATAAATTAGGGATATTTTTTAATAGCAGTCCCAACAGAATGGGCATCTTGGATTTATGCTTTTGTGGTGGCATGCATGAAGGTGTTATTACCTATCCCTAAACGTATTTATTAGCGATCATAAGTAAGCCATGCTTGGTTCCTTAGCATTTCTCCTAATCAGTGATCGTCACAGCAAACTGATACTAAACTGGTCATGGGAATGAGGTTTTTCAAGGTTACTTGGGGTGCGGGCATGTGTACTTACTGAAAGCTCCCAATGCGCTTCTGTATATTTTGGAACAACTGGCTTGGACCATTTTTAAAAACCCATAATTAAATCGGAGAAGGGAGCCAGCAGGCATTTGGCAACCCTGCCAAGTAAGATGTGTTCACAGGTACTTGGGAAGGGTCCCTCTGTGGGGATCTCTTATCTCAATCTGTGCTATCCTCCCGGTACTTTTTTTTTTTCTGCTACGAATACAGCTGTGTAGTTTTAGAAAATAGAAGTCTGGCCTTCTCCGCTATTTAACACATGGATTAATCGAGCATTTGCGATGGTGTGCTTCTGGGGTCAGGGCTCTGATGGAAATGAGAAAGATGCAGTCCTTGCCTCCTCTTTCTCACAATCGGGTGGAACTTACACAATTATCTCCTCCTTAAGGTGCAGAATGACCTAATGCTACAGAGTAATGGGAGCCAGTATTCTCCAAATGAGGTAAGATTCCTGAAGATTAATGGAAGCCGAGGCGTTCCGTGAAGACGGAACTGAGTTATCTTTCACAGAAATGGATCGTCTATAACACTGGGATGAATGAGTTAATGGAAGGCCTCTGGGGTCTTTCATTAGTTGTCACTCACTGTCACAGATTTGCTTGGCTCCATGTATAATTAAAAATTAATTTTATGAGAAAGAGTTTTTGAAAACTAGGCATGGGGATGCCTTGATAGAAAACGGCAGAAAAAAAATCACTCAGATCGATGGCATTGCCGTTACCTGTGATGGTTCAGCATGCAGCTTCTGTGTGGGTGAGCGGTCTGCTCAGCGTTAACTGTTTCATCTCTCCGTGTCAGAGAGGCTTCACTGGGTGTGCCCTTTGGGATACCTGCACACGCGCATTTAGCTGTGTCGGATGAGAAGTGGGTCACCAGCATTATGCTACTACAAAATATTTTTATAGTGAGCAAGTACAAAATTTGATAAAACAACAAAACAGTACTAGTAACACGATTTACTAGAGTGCCTAAAAACATTCGGCTGATTGCCTCTTAAGCATTAGCAAAATGATCTTTTTTTTTTTTAAAGCCAAGGCTTCATCACAGTCCAGCACTAGCAAGATACAGCGTGGTTTTTATAATAATCCTTGACCATATGAGTACCTCTAGTTCTTCATTTTATCCCCATCCGTCTTTCCTTCTCACCCCACAGATGAGAGAGAACTCCCCTTCAATGTCTCCAACTGCAAACGTCACAGCTCCGTTTGGCCTGAAGCCCCGCTCGGGTATGTTAACCTCTGCTGATTCTGACACTAAATGACTCAGATAGTTTCTCTGTGGCCTTTCACATGTCTACCTGAGTACTAGGAACCCTGCCCGTTCTAGTCAGCTGGGGTCCTGGTGTCAGCACAGCTGTGCTTTGGGAGGTCAGGGGATGGCATCGAGCTGTTTGGTCTGTGCTTCCAGGAATGGGCAGCCTGCTTTCTTTTGACTCACAGCAAAGAAAGGTGACAAAGGGCACCTGTGAGTAGGGAAGGAACATTCTCTTGAACTTTTTAACCCATGGAAAATAAAAGCTCCCTTTACCCCAAAGGTTCCTGGTGCCCTGATGAGCTAAAGGGCAACCTGAAGGCAGAGTCCTACCCAAGATGCCCCCAGTTGCTTTCTGAGCATGGTAAGGTCTCTCTGCATTGACTCACAGGAGAGGGTGAGCATTTTAAGGCTTATATGAGTGGTTAGGAGTCAGGGGAAGAAATTCTTCTAGGAAAGCATCTGACTCTTTGATTTACTTGATTGTAATTTATGTTACTATATTAACAAAAACAGTTATAGCAATGTGCAAAGTCCCCCTTAATTTTTAAAAGAGGACTCTAGATAGAAAAATCTATTTCCTTTTTTATATATATTTCTAGCTTTGGTGCTCTGCCTTCTTTTAGGACCTCCTTTGTTTTAAATTTTAGTTTCTTTGGTGCTTACCGTATTTACCACTAATGCTGTTAAGTGGATTCTAATAAAGGGCCTAGACACATGTATGTAAGCACACTTGATAGAGGACACAGGCGTTCTTGACTTTAGGGGGGAAAGCAGTACGATAACAGTATGATTACCAGTTTCTGGCTTGAAATGAAGGTAGCTGTGGGAAAGGGAAAGAAGATTCATTTATAAAGGAAGTGTTTTGTTCTTGGAGCACCTTGATTGGTGGGCAGTATGTGGTCAGGTGTGAGGTTTCCTGGCCGTTAGAGTATTGAAAGAAAAAAACCAGTAGGAAAAATGCCTCTAGAGTGATCAGGGTCCCTAGGTTTTTTGTTTTTGGTTTTTCAGTCCTGGAAATTGAACGCAGGCCCTTGCACCTGCAAGGCAAGTGTTCTGCCACTGAGCTACATCTCCAGCCCTAGAGAGTATGTTACAGAAAGGAAAAGCCTAGATGAAGTAGTATAAAACTCAAATGACTGGCCTCCTCAGGGGTGAAACTAAGCATGTTTGGCTACATCTGGGCTGTGCCTTGATCTCCACAATCCCAGCTCTGTTCTGGGAGAAATGGAGGTAACTTCTGTGACCCTCCTCTGCCTCGTGTGGGGCTACAGATGCTTTCAAGCCTTCTGGACAGTTCTGCAAAATTAAAAAAAAATTTCATAGTTGAAATCAAAAGTTGGATGAGTTTCCAAAGACTGATAGTCTTTTGAATGTTGAACGCTGTAACCTAGTTGTAAAATGGGTTCAATGACTTTGAATGCATTTATAGAGACTTGGTAAGCTTACCCAGTCAGAGAGTGCCTTCTCCCTGCAGTGTGCACCCTTCAAGTTCTGTGAGGAGATGAAAAGTAGAGTGTTATTTTCAGCTGGAGAAAACAAATGCTATTTTCTCCCCAAGTTTCCAATTGCAGATTCCTTAACTACCCAGTGAAATTACTCTCTGGGTATGGAGCACAAAAATAAGATGTGTTATCATTTTATAAATAGCTAACTCAGAAGTTCTTGAGAGGTTTCCTTTTTTTTCTTCCATTAGCTAGTTGGTTTTTTTTTTTATGTTGACTACTGAGTATTCAAAAATGTTTTACTGAGCAATATTGACAAGTGAGTTTTAAGGTATTTCAAGGGTTCAAGGAAAAGTTGGTGACGTTCAGTTCTTAATTAAACACACTATGTTATCTTATGGGAGTGTCTTTAAAAACTACTGTCTTGGTTTTTAAAGAGCATTAAAATATCAGCACTTTTGTGATCCTTTTGTTTTTAAATAGCAGATACATTTATCCATGTTGAGTTTTGTCTAGTGGGACCCGCAGCTCTGGGTGGATTTCGCAGTTGCCTCTGCTGGTTAGTTGATTAAAGGGTCTGCAAAGGGTGTCTGCTAGGCCTCTCACTTTCAACTGCATAAATTAGTTCTCTCCTCTGCTGCCGTGACCCACGAGTACTCCAGGCTGCAGGCTTGCAGGGCTGTTAAAGATTAAGGATATTAACTGCATGCAAAGTATGTGACCGATGAGTACTAACACTCAGTTTCTATCGTTCTTTTCATTCCATACGCCATCTCTCATTCTCCTCCCATATTGTACGTTTGAATTTAAATCCCGTGTAATGAAATCCACTCCATTTCCATGCGAACCTTATGCCACGTGTGAAATCCTGCGGCCCCTTTGGTTTCCCCTGGTCCTTGTGCAACTGTCCGCCTGGCTCTCTCGCTCTCCTGCAGACCCAGCCCTCATTCTTCCTATCTCCTTCAACAAACTTACGCAGGCACAAACATGGGACAGCCCTAGCTACAGTGTTCCCTCTGAAGGAGACAGTGACAATGGTAGGTGTTTTGTCTCTTCTTCCATGCTTTTGTGAATAAGCCGGGGACTGGGCCGCACATTGCTTCGTGTGTGGCTAGAGACAGTAGATGTGGACCTGCATGCTCCATGCTTAGGAAGCCTCGAAGGCAAAGTCCGGACAAGTGCATGTGAACTGTTGCCCAACAGTGGATGGCCTGACACTTTACATCCCTGAGGGTGCTGAGTCTGGGGAGGATTTACAGTACTCTCTTCTCTGCCTATTTTGTTTGGGGTTTGGTTTGGTTTGTCTGCTCATCTGCAGACATTTGATCTCACACATTCTGGTTTAGAATGTGGGTGTGGTGATACACTCCTATAATCCCAGCATAGGGGAGGCTGAGGCAGGAGGGTAGCCAGTTTGAGGCCACCTGAGGCTGTATAGTGGAGCCCTGCCTCAAAAAATAAGGTTGATCTTTTATGAGCTATGTTTATCACATGGCGTTTTTAAGGAGATTTAAAGGTACCAAGGCTAATCCTAGAGTTTTGCACTGAAAATAATGTTGACATTGAGAAGTTTCTAAAAATGAAGAGAAATTACCTTTCCCTTTTTATTTTTCCAAAGGGTTTTGTTTGTTTGTTTGCTTTTTGTTTTTGTTTTTGTTTTTTTGTTCTTTTGTTTTGTTTTGTTTTGTTTTTCGAGACAGGGTTTCTCTGTGTAGTTTTGGTGCCTGTCCTGGATCTCGCTCTGTAGACCAGGCTGGCCTCGAACTCACAGAGATCTGCCTGGCTCTGCCTCCCAAGTGGCTGGGATTAAAGGTGTGCACCACCGCCGCCCGGGTTTTTCAAAGTTTTTATACATCTTGACTTTTATACTTTTTTTTGGTGTGAATTCACTCACATTAAAGGATGCTGAGTTAGTCTGAAAATAATGTATTAATTTTTAAAAATTGGGGACACCCAGGGAGTCTTAATATGGATATCCTACTTTTGTCTCAATTAGATAGTTCAGCCAGTTCAAGATAAAAATAAAATTATTTAGAACTATATACTACATATATCCAAATCACTGTTCTGGTTTAACCCGAGTTGTAAACATTTTGCCTCAAACTACAAAATGATAGAAGAAATATTAAATGAAACAGAGAATTGAGATGTGAGGCATTAACCATTATGCACACATAGCAGTATGTATGTTTTCAGATGTTAAATGTGCTCTCTATAATATCTATAACTACTTGCTGTGATCTTGGATGTTAAATGTGCTCTCTATAATATCTATAACTACTTGCTGTGATCTCTGCTTAAAATTCAGCCAGATTTTCTACTTGTTAAAGAATAATGCATATTCTGATAAACTGATTCTACAAGAAATATTAGTATTTCCTAGTTGTCTAAATCAGTGGTTCTTGACCTTCTTAATGCTGTGGCCCTTTGATACTGTTCCTTATGTTGTGGTGACCCCCAACCATAAAATTATTTCATTGCTACTTCATAACTGAAATTTTGCTGCTGTTATGTATTATAATGTAAGTATCTGATTTTTCTGATGGTCTTAGGCAACCCCATGAAAGGGTTGTTCACTCCCAAAGGGGTCGAGACCCACAGGTTAAGAACTGGTGGTCTAACATTTTTTTTTTCACTGAAAATAAGCATAATTTAAAAAAATCATGAAACAATATCCCCTTCTTACATCATCCTGCTTTAAATTCTGGAAGCTGGGGATGATTTGGTGGAAACTTTCTTGATAAGCTGTTCTTTTATTTAAAAATAGATGACCAGTTATGAAGAGGAGTTTCTGCTTTTCCCAAAACCTGGTTGTTATTTACAGGAAATAAGCCTAGTATGAAAGATTAATGTGTGAGTTGGTATTTCCTTGGGAATGATGTCTGAAACCAGAGGAGTTTTTTTTTAAACTTGGGAAAGATTTAGAAATTTTAAACAGCAGAATTTCTCTGCTGGTGTGTGAACCGACCAATATCAGACCGTCCAGGTGCTGTGTGGATGTCGCTGTGAGATAGGGACCAGGGAGCCCTCTATTCCCAGCTCTCGACTGTCTCCTGTCAGCAAATCTACACTCACTGTACCAGTGAGGACCTGATGTGCAAGGCTCTAGGCCAGGCCGCCTTTTTATTGGAAGTTCTGAGATGTCGACAGCCAGTAATCACCGTGAACATCTAAAAATAAAACAAGCCTTGCATTTATTACATGACCTTTCTTTCCTGTGTATAACAGTTCCAGGGATTTACCACATAGTACCACAGCAGTATTAAAAGGATTGTTTCCAATATTCCTCTGGATTGGGCAATCGTGTCAGATGTCTTTGGTGGTTTTCGTTTTTTCTTCATTTGATTTGTCCGAAGTGTGACACACATCTTCATCCCCTGTGTGTTAGACTTGGCCTTGCGAATGCAGCATGCTTTCTGTCTCGGTTGCAGAGGCCATGCAGGAGAAGAGCTGAGGATCATGGCGCACATGCTTTCCATGTTGTTCTCGGTGCTTCCATAGAGCCAGACCCTTCCACGCTAGGCCTTCTTGGCGTGTCCAGAAATACTGATGTGCACATTAGTTGTTTCCTCAGCTTCTTCGTTCTCTGACACAAATGATAGCGTAGACCACCATAACGTAACCTTTAGTTATTAGCTTCACACACTTGGAATAGTCGTTTCTTTGTTTATCGCCTCATTTTGCACACAAAAACTTCTCCTTTCATTTAAACCCCTTCCAACATTCTGTTCCAAATTGAACTCATTTTAAATTCACCATTTTCTTTGTAACATATTCTTCAAAGAGATTTTTTTTCTTTTATGGCAAAACAGGCTTGACCAACCTTGGGCATTTGGAGACTCACAGTTTCTGAAGTCAGTCCCCGACAGGGACAGATGGCATGGAAGTCCATCTGTGACTCTGCCTGCCTCTGCCACAGGCTGGGGTGACTCCCCTTCCCTCTGCTCATTTATGAGAACTCACCCTCTTCTCCTGACCTAGCTCTTCTTTTGTGGCTTAGTCTTCCCTTTCTTTACCCATTTACTCGGAAGTAAAAAACCCATCCTGGCCTCTTTTGAGATGTTTCTGCCTTTTCACTTGTGGTGAATTCATAGGTACTAATTTAGACTTATTTAAAATTGATCTTTGTATAAGAGTAAGTGAATGGACATCCATCTCCAACCGGTTTACAGACATTTTTGTTTCTTTTTTGATGACAGTGTAGCACTAAGGTCTTATTCACCCTGTTACAAAAACAGGGAAGCTGAGGATATGGGAAGTTCTTCAGTGGCTTTCCACCCTGGCTTCAAATTAGAATGCCTGGTCCTTGGGTTCAGAGATGTTAGATGAGCACTGGTGTTGAGTCAAAGCATTTGCTTGTTTGTTTACCTTTTTATGTGGTACATGGTAGACATAGGAATGACAATATCTGAGTTAAGTAAACTGCCCAAGATAACAGAGAGGAAATTTCAGCATTTGAAGGTCAGTAAATGCACCTAATTTACTTGGAGCACCAGGAGGAAATGAATGAATTTGTTTGGCTTATTTCTGGCTCCCAAGAGCCCACTGGAATCTAAAACTCATAAGTGTTCAAAGTCATTGTATGTCTGCCCTTGAATTTAAACATATAAAAAGCTACACTAGTTCACATTCTTAACTTCCAAGAAAGAGGAGGCTAAATTTCAAAGCCCCATGCTTTCACAGAGAAGAAATTTCCTTTAATTCTATTTAGTTTAGGTAATAGGGGTATGTTAGTAAACTAATAATTTTTGTGCAAAATGCATGATTTTTTAATTATTAATGAAGTGGTAAAGCCAAAGCCTGCTTTAGAACTGTGAGCGTCCTTTCCTTAACTGAAAGGTAGCAGCTGGAGAAAGGGTTTTGTTGTGTGCGCCTGTTAAGTGCCTCCCTGTGCTAAGCACGCCTCTAACCCACATGCAGCTCCGAAAAAGATGGACACAGTGTCTGCTGCTGTGGAACTTTTGTTTTAGAGGTTAATGTGTTCAGACCTGGAAAGTAATTTGGATTTTTTTCCGTGAGAGGAGAAATCGAGAAACGAGTCATCAGGACAGTATAGTTTCTGCGAAGATAATCTTCAGATGCTTCCGTCCTTCCCAAGAGATTGGAAATAGTTGTTTGCTCTACTCATCCAAGACCTGTCTCAGCACCCTCCTTTGTGGGATACAGCAGAGCATGCCATTGGGCTCTTGCAGAGCCGTGCATGTTATGCAGCAATACAGAGTGATGAGTGCCAGAGATGTACAGATAAGCACCTTTGATGTCCATGGGAAGTAGAGATTATGGGGTAAAGGTGCAGAGGCCGTAGACTGAAACATAGAAAGGATGGGAAGATCAGTGGAATCCTCCATATACAGATATCACCATCTTCTACAGGCCTGCGTTTAGATATTTGATCCTGTTACGTGGACTATACCCAGCAAGTCTTATGGCCTGTTGCAACTGTTAACCATTTGCTCCCTGATAATTAAACAACGAAGAGCTCATTTTTCTCTGTATCTCAATCATCTGCTCCCCTCTTCCTGAGCACAAGTGTGTAAATGTGTGTGTGTGCACACTCGCTTACAGAGCTCACTTTCCCCTCTTTTTAATTTATAGTTAAACCGGATGACATTGAAAAGCAGATGCTAACAATTTGAGTATTATTATATATCTTCAAGTTAAACTTTCAGTCCCCTGAATTGAGTAGGGAGCTCTTGAAATGATGTAATAGGGAATTAAGACAAGCCAGGATAATTCTTACATAGGGCAGTTTCCTGAAGACTAGCTTCAGAAAGAAATAAGCTGGCAGGTTCATTAGCTGAAAGGGTTTCTTTAAAATTCTTAAATAGTCCACAGTAGTTATAACTAATCATATAATTTTAGTGTATATGCTACATAAATTCATTTCCAATAATTGTATGTACATTTGCAATATTTGTTTAAAACTGTAAACTACAGTTGAAATACTTTTTTTTTTTTTTGATTGCTTGCAGTTCACAGAACAAACACCCCAGTGTGCGGGTTTTGTTTTTCAGAGGCACAGGGAATTTAAAATAAACAGGCATGTCAGGAAATTAAAACCCAGACGTCATTGCATTCCCCTGCTATCCCTCACGGGGTTCTGCTAACACAGACAGATGCTAGGATCGTGTGCAGTTAAGCCAGAGTTCACAGTTCATTCAACTTCCTCATATTTTCAGATTCAGAATGGAATCATCCAATAAAAACATATTGAAAATATCAAGCAGGTCGTATTAGATAAGATTTCTCCAGGAACAAATGTAAGAGGGAAATGACCTCCAAAGCAAACAGTAGGCGTATTGGAGTGGGGTCGAGGTGCCCCTTGGTGACGCGTGGGTGCATTACCAAGCTCTGTCCACATTCCTTGACTTTTTTGGTAAATTCGGTTAGCATCTTTGGGAGCCGAGGCCGCTGTTGGTTTTACCCTGTGTTTCTCTTCCCAATGTTGTACCCCCGTTGCTTCTCATTGGTCATCTTGCCCTCGCCTTCTTTTTAACTCTTCTGCCCAGCAACTGGATCACATTAGCCTCCTTTTGCTAGCCTTGGCTTTCCTTCTTTCTTTCTTTGAACCGGTCTTACTCCAGAGACTCCTGTGATGCACTTTTTTTTTTTTTTTTTTTTTACCAGTGACATCTTGCTTCGCTTCCATCCTAAGTCCAGGGTACAGACTCCTTTCTGCAGTTCCGGAAAGCCTTGTACGCCCTTAGGTCAGCCTCGTTCTCCAAGAACCGAGGCAGAGATTGTGTCTGTCACACTTCTCATCTTCCCAAGCATCTCGGTGCTGGTTCTGGCGTCCTTGAACTCGTGTAGAAAGGAAACTAGAGGATTAAGATGGATACAGTCTTCCAGCACTCAATATTTAAGTACACAAAGTACACACAGTTGTTTTTTTTTCTCTAGGTGTTATATTTGCAAGCCATATTTAATTTTTAAAGTGTGATAGACTGAGGTCGTTCCTGAAGCGACCTTGTAGGAAATGGCAGAATAAAAGTTGCACGCTCCTCGTATTCAGCGCTGTTTAAGTGAGAGTGGCTGGAACTATTATTGCTGTTGTGGTGTCCCTACCACTTGCTAGGTGGTGGTGATTTCTGATGTGGGAATTCTCTGCACAAACTCTCCTGAATGACAGCACCGCTCCCGCTCCCAGCCAGATCTTAAAAGTCCACACAGAGAGAACCAGACCACTCCACTTCCAGCAGCAGAAGCAGCAGCAGCGTTGTGTCTCGAGGCTAAAAAAATCTCTAGCAAGAAAAAATTACAGTCAGCACCCCCTCCTCCCCCCTGAGACAGGGCCCCCCTGTCTAGCCCTGGCTGGCATATGACTCACTATGTGGACCACGCTGGTCATTAACTCACAGAAATCCATCTGCCTCTGCCTTCCAAGTGCTGGGATAAAAGGCATGTGCCACCATGCCCGGCTACTAAAATCATTCTTTACGTGTAGAATATTTTTGGAAGGCTGCAAATCCACTTTTACTTACTTACTTTTCATTAGCGCACATCTGTGAGGGGTGCAGCATCATACAGATCTGGTATCCAATGGCCTTTGCAAATAGGATGCTTTGGAATTTGGCACGAATCACATCACTCTTCCCATGGGCCAGAGTTATCTTTCCCCAGATTATTCTGGTTTTGTTGAGTTTGCCTCCAGGAGTCACTAGGTTTTTTTTTTTTTCCTCTGTTCACCTAAGTGCCTCTCTTGCCTAAGGAGAATTCAGTTTCATCTCTGGCATACACATCTTCAACTTCAAGAAGAGCTGTGCTGTCATTGGTTACTGAGACCTCCTTATAGCCAGCAAAAATGGCCTTGCAAACACAGCCTTCCTAATATACTTGGTTTTTAGAATACTGTTCCGAGCATTCCTCCACAGGTGCAAAGACAGTGGGAAGCCATATGGAGAAAGTATTTTATTCCCAACTGTTGTTATCACCTAGATGTTTAGTGCATATGAGTTTTGTGAGTTTTTTTTCCCCATCATCCATTTGTTCTGTTCTGTTCTGTTCTGTTCTACACAGTGCTGGGGCCTGAACCCAGGACTTCATATATACCGGGCAAATGCTTCACTACTGAGCTATGCATTCAGCCCAGGAGAGTGTATATTTTCTTTTTTTTTTTAACTTAAAAGATTTATTTATTTTTATTTTATGCATATGGATATTTTGCCATGCATGTATGTCTTTTTGCCATGTACATCCCATGGTGCCCTCAGAGGCCAGAAGAGGGCTTCAGATCCTCTGGAATTGGAGTTAGAGATAATTGTGAGCCACCGTGTGGGTGCTGGAATTGAACTTGGGTCCTCTGGAAGAGCAGACAGCTGAGCTGACTTTCTAGCCCCAAGAGTATGTATTTTCTGAACTACTCCAGAGGAGGCATGTTTTCAGCCACTGCTGTGGTAGGAAGCCTGAGGCCTCCGAGCCAGCGGTGATAAAGCCACCTGTAGTCCGGCCAGCCTTTCTGACAACAATCCGAGCTCATCTGTAGAGAGCTGGCCCTTTGAACACCTGGCTGATGGGGCAGAAAGCAGGATTTTTCCATTCCATTCTCAAATAGATAGTCCCACGTGTTATCACTTAGTTTTGGATAGAGGCTTATTCAATGTGAAGCCAACAAGAACAGCTTCCTGCGCCTATTTTTAACATGTAAAACAATTCTAGTATCTTCTTATTTGATCTAAATTACTTAGATTGAAAGAAAGATAAGCGTACAGTTAGAATATCGATTAGGACAGAAGAAACAGTGGAAAGGAGAGGGAAGTGGGTGATGGCATGCTCTCATCTCCACCCCTCTGAGACCCGCCCCTCAATCCAGTCCATCCAGTTCATTCAGTCACCACAAAAACAGCTTGGCAGTCCACACATCCTAGACTAACTCAAGAGATAATTTCCCTTTGAATATTCACATCAAACTTTGGCTGTGAACCTGGACTCCCCTTGCGCCTGTGAAAGATAAATAATTTGGGATAAATAGATTATTTAACTGAACTAGGACTAGCCCTGTGTAGCAACACGGATTGATTTTCGCCCCCCTCCATTTCTATTACAGTGTTTCTAAGACCTCAGAGAAATTTGGAGTCGATCGACCCGCAGTTCACGATTCGGAGGAAAATGGAGCAGATGAGGGAAGAGAAGGAGCTGGTGGAGCAGCTCCGCGAGGTACTGGGGTGGCGGGGGACAGAGTGTGATGCTCGGAACCGAAGCTGCACTCTGTGTGGGAAAAGCCTTCCTGCAGTGCTGCGCACAGTCCCAGTTCAGATCCAGCTAGATGGGTCCCTGAGAGACTCTCTGTTAGTGAGTGAGTCCCTTAACTCTGACTTTCAGTTTCTGCTAATGAAGACTCATCACTGGGTTCTGCTATACTCTAAAAGAATACCTGTCATGTATTTGCTTAATAGAAGTATGTCATTAGTTTAAAGATATTTATATAGTATTCTGAACTTTGTATTACAAACCAGTCAGAGCTTTTAAGTCCACCTTGTAATAAGCAAACCATTTGCATTCCTATGGAAGGTGAAGTCTGGCCTGGATGCCATCCATCCAAGACTTTGAGCTCAGTAAAGGTGGGGACTGGGGCTGTGTGTTCACTGCACTGTTGTGGAACCTCATGGGCACTCTGAAGGTCTTTGTGTCTATGTAGGAAAATGACACAATTGTATAAGAAACTAACAGTCCCATCGCCAAGAAGAGGCTGGCGTCAGCTGCAAAAGGCAGCTTGTAAGTAACTCACATTCAAAGAGAAGTGTCATGGTTAGGGCCACAGAGGGTAAGAAAGCTCCTGAGGGGCCACAGATTTTATGTTGAAGCCTCTCCTTCCTCTAACAAATTTTTTTTGGCCACTGTATTAATCAGGGCCTTCTAAAGGGAAAGAACTGTTAGAATAAATGAATATATATGTGTGTATATATATATGCATACACACATATATATGAAATGAATATATATGCATACACATATATGTAAATATGTGCATATATGTATGTATGTATGTATGTATATGTATTTTATTTTAATTATATGTAATTTTAAATAATCTCTTAAATATATATGTATATATTTAGGGGATTTATCTGATTGACTTGTAAGTAATCACAGTAATCATTGTCTCACACTGGAGAGGCCGAGAATCCAGTAATTGCTCAGTCCTTGAGACTGGATATCTCAGCGGACTGAATCTGGAACTGAAAGCCTAGAGGACTCTTGGGTGCTACTGGTCTTCAGTATATGTTGGACTCTAAAAGCAAAGCTTCCTTCTTTCACATTTGTTTATCCCAGCTGCCACCAGAACATGTCACCCCCATATAGGTGGGTCCTTCTGCTTCAGATAATCTGACCAAGAAAACCCCTCACAGCTGGGCTCAACAGCTTGTGTTTTGGTGAGTCCAGATGCAGACAAGCTGACGACCAAGATTTGCCATCACAACCACGACTCCATGCCAAGCAGCATTTAGGTGATGGATATGATGCTTATATAGTCTATTGAGAAGAGATAGTCAAAAGAAGGAAACAGAAATACACAATTTCAGAAAACGGTGAATTTAGCAAAGGAGCAACAAACGTTCTCAATAAAAATGAAAGTAAGCGGTCAGCCGCCATCTTTATTACTGTAGGTGATGCTTTATCAGTGGTGTAGGGGCCTGTTAGGAGGAGCAAATGGCGGGAGACCTCCACAAGCACAGGGAAGTTAGACTTAATGGCCTGGCATATACGAACGAACATGAACTTGAAAGGCAGACTTCGGGATGTGTGAGAGGATGGTTGAAAAAATAATACTCAAGTTTAACCTTAAACTTGAGTAATTTAAAAATGAGAATTAGAGACAAAGATTACCTTACAAAACTAGGTGTCTAGGAACTAGGGAGGTGGCTTAGTTGGTAAAAATGTCAGCTATACAGGCTTGAGGACATACGTACAACCCCGAGAACCCACGTCAAAACTGGATGTGAAGCCGGGCGTTGGTGGCGCACGCCTTTAATCCCAGCACTCGGGAGGCAG